CATAAAGGCTTCGCGGAAAACCTCGGTAATTATTTTTTGCGACTTGTCGCCGCCCACAAGCGCATGTAAAACGACTTTCCAAAAAAATCTCGCCACTCCAAACTACCAAATTTGTACATAATGCATTTACATGCATCTAGGTGCGCCCTGGCGAAAAAATGCACTCAACGCCCCCTTACGTCTTTATTAGCCATTAATTAATTTCGATTGTTTTAAGACGAAAAGAATTTCCCGAAAAAACTGTTATTTTTAGTTTTGTGTGTACCTAAGTGGGCACTGTCGAGTTTCTTTTATGTTAAATTTAATAAAGCATTGTTACCTTTACAGACAAATAATTTTACCTGCTGGACACTAATTTTATTTCAAAAGCACAATTGAACATTTTGTGTGGTACTTGACGCGATAAGTGCTTCTTAACTTTTGTGTTTTGACAGTTAAAAATGACGGTTAAAAATGAAACTTAAAAAAATAATAAAATACCTTTTGAAATAGTAAAATAATCCAAAATAAAAGTTGGAAAACACACACTGATCACGGATTTACCTTTATGTGACGTTAAAGGCCATAATCTACACAAAAAACTGTCACAATTCGCACAAAAATCACTAAAAACGTCTCACGGACACCTTCTAGATCAAAAAACTTCTCAAACTGTCAAAATGTTCGGTTGTTTACAAAAACGCGCGTATTCTAGAGGCGTACAGTGCACAGCAGCGTTACATCCCCTTCTTGCGGAGGCAAAAACTCTACTGCCGCTTTTGGCGCTGCGTTTCGGAAAACTTGTTCCGAATTGTGAGATCGCGCGAGGCCGGGGTGGGAGTTCAGAGCCAACTTGTCTGCGCGGCTCCGAGAGGAATCGCCTCGCTCACGTTTTAAAGCAAATAAATGATTAAGTTTTGTTTATTTTCGATGACCTTGTCGCCGCGCTTTTGATGTGGTTTTTATGGCGCGTAAAAGTTTTTACCTGGACGGACGTTTTTTAATGAGTTTCGGTCATCTATGATGCGGATCATTTTAAATGTCAGATTTGTTTACGGACGCCGAACAGTTGTCAGGTTGGTCAGGCTGCCAATTATAACATTTGTTTTTGTGTTTTGACAATAGAGTAATTGCATCAAAAATGAAAATCCCTAAAAACCTTTTTATTGTAATCTAGAGGTAAAAACACATTGCGAAAATATTTTTTTATATTCCAAAAGTTCAACCCGGGCCCAAAATATCAAATTGAAAAAAAGGTACTTTTCAAACGTTCCGAACTCCCGCCAAATTGCATGACGTCATAAGCTCCAACTGTCAGAAATCAAGATGTCAACAAATAATAAACACCGATAAAGTTTAACATGGAAAACGCGAAACCAAAAATTGGTTGTAAATATTGTTTTGTGCCTTGTACAAATACAACCTGGAAAACTCCTGGGAAAAGGTTTATCACCGTGCCAAAAGGGAAAATAAGGATAAAGTGGATTAAAATAGCTCGGCGCGATATCAAAACATCGTCACCGCAGTCAACATTTTATTGATCATTTTAAGGATCATTTTAATGTAAGTAAAATAAAATGTCGTTTACTAGGTACCTATATGGTTTGAATAGGTATGTTAAATATTAATAAACCCAAGAAAATAAGGCTGAGCCGTAACTACTCTCAGTGTAGGGTCATAAACTTTGCTTTTGATAATTGAAGGGACAACTTTCCCAGGAGTTTTCCAGGTTGTATTTGTACAACAATGCACAAAACAATATTTACAACCAATTTTTGGTTTCGCGTTTTCCATGTTAAACATTATCGGTGTTTATTATTTGTTGACATCTTGATTTCTGACAGTTGGAGCTTATGACGTCATGCAATTTGGCGGGAGTTCGGAACGTTTGAAAAGTACCTTTTTTTTAATTTGATATTTTGGGGCCGGGTTGAACTTTTGGAATATAAAAAAATATTTTTGCAATGTGTTTTTACCTCTAGATTACATTAAAAAGGTTTTTAGGGATTTTCATTTTTGATGCAATTACTCTATTTAAATTAGTTCAAATGGCGTTTAATGAATTTTGTTTTTAAATAGTTGACCGCACTGCAAATCACAAATGTCATTTGTCTCATGTTTTGACAGTTCGTAAGTGGCACCTTTTTCCTAAAGATATAGAGAGTTTTATAATAAAGAGTAAACATGCTAAACTTTGCTAAAGGATATCCGATTTTTAAATCGTGCCCCTAAAAATAGCGTATATTTTCATTACGTGACGTATATCAGCTGCAAGGTATTAACTTTTAAGAAGTCAAACTAAAAAATTACACTCTTTTTCTGTATTATTAATACCTATTATAATAAGAGTATGTATCGGGCATGACTTAAAGGTCGTAAAAAGCATTAACATTATTAAAGAGTCGAATAATTTACCTTTTTATTATTATACGTAAGTATTAAGCTTTCTCCTTATTTCAATGCAATTTTATTGATTTAATAATAATAAACGGTCGACATTTTACAGATTATTTTATTAATACTTTATAAAAGTAGTTTTCCCATTTAATAAGTACTTAAGTTTGGTAAAGGACCATTACAGTTTATTTCCGTTAAAAAGCAGCCCACAAAACAATAAAATTGTTCATTATTCTTTCGTTATTATTTCGTAGACTCTATTGTTTTAAATTCAATGAAATTTGCTCATTTTATGTAGGTATGTGAGCTATTATTTGGACCTACCTCACGAATAACGCCCATATTTAAGTTGTAATTTTAATATTTTGTGCATTGAGTGGACCAGTTTATATTGAGATGTCCCCCAAGTGAAAATGATTATTTTTTATTTTTGGTTGTTTCACAGTTAGTGAACATAACATAAGTGGTTCTGCACTAATGCAAGAATTTTAAGAAATCATACTTTTTGAATATTAGAGCTTCACGGAAGATATCTTCACGGAGGTTAGGATTTCGTATATATTTTTTAAACATCCCTTTCTATATTTGAAATAAGTTATTGTATCTTTTGACACCTTAATATTTAAAAAAAATACAATTGTACATACATAAAATATTTATAAAAAAATCTACTTATTACTGAGATATTACACTTCACGGTGGATAGATTTTTAAATAGCAAAAAACTTTAACTTTTGAATTATAAAACAGCAACTCTCATCTGCATATAAATTCTAACTGACCTTCAGGAATCACATGCATCTATATGTCGTAAACAGAGGTTTTTGCTTATTTAAAATGATTAAAGCGCCATCCGTTGCATAAAATTTAAAGCAAAAACAGATTCACGGAGGATAGAATCAATTTTTGTAACACCTACATAAATGGTTATAAAAATTATTTCTTTAAATTTTTAATAATATTTTTTATTTGATTCGATTGCTTTGGATCAGTGGCGGCTGGTGGATTTTGGGTATACCAATATTTCAGTTATTAGACATGGGACCCACACCAAATTTATAATAGTTTATAATGACATTAAATAGACAAGTTCGGCGCAAACAGAATTTAAATTGAAGTTTGCGAAAAAAAGTTAGTTTTTTCTGTCGCCTCACCCGCCTCCAGGCCCCCCTATTTAAGATAATTCAAATTAAAGTGGTGCAATTTTTTATCTACTATAATTTATTGAAAAATTTAAAATTTTATTTAAAAAATCCAAATATTTCAGATTTTATTCGATTTTAAAATTTTTATTATTTATTTTATTAAAATAAAAAAATATTTAAAATGTTATAAAACCTGTATAATTTGGATTTTTTAAATACATTTTTAAATTTGTCAATAAATTATAGTAGAAAATAAATTGCACAACTTTAATTTGAATTATCTCAAATAAGGGGGCCTGGAAGCGGGTGAGGCGACAGGAAAAACTAACTTTTTTTCGCAAACTTCAATTTAAATTCTGTTTGCGCCGAACTTGTTTATTTAATGTCATTATAAATTATTATAAATTTGGTGTGGGTCCCATGTCTAATAACTTAGATATTGGTATACATAAAATCCACCAGCCGCCACTGCTTTGGATGTGTTTAATTCACTTAGTGAACTGATATTTTTAGTATGCTTTTACTACCTCAGATATTTAAAAACAGACAAATTAACCTAGAAAGAGTAACGGTCACGGAGGATAGGATTTAGACTTTTAAAACATTGTAAAAAATAATTAATTGCGGTTAAAAATCTGGAACCTGAGCTGTAATATCTACTTAATTATGAAAGATCAAAACACAATAAAAGTGTAGGTCAAACTCATTTAGTTTTATAAAATATCACGGGGTAACACCATCGGGGGACATTTCGTGAGATTCACCCATATACCTTTATTTTTCGAGGGTTTAAAGTTTAAACCACAGTTTAAACTTTAAACTGTGGTCCAATTTTGCCTTCTTAAAGTTAAATATTTTTTAAGGTTGTTCTTTTGAAATATAACAGATAAATTATTAAAATTTGGTAGCCATGCAAATAAAATACGTACCTACATTTTTTTGTTTTTTAATTTTATACCTACTATTTTTTTCATAATTATGTTTTTTTCAAACCAGAACTTTTTTCTAGCACGCCACTGCTTAAACTTGATTATTAAATTAGATAGGTCCATAAATAAAAATTTACAAATTTAGTTTTTTGAGTTTTTTTTCATATCTTGCTTTACTTTAAAGTTAATAATAATAAAACAAGTCGAATATCCCACAGGAATCATTATAATTCTATAAAATCGAATAATTTTGATAACGCATAATTATTTAATCAACTACCGCAAGAAATTTAAAGCTAATTTTGTTTGATAATTTAACTGTCAAGCATTTTTAACCTCAGTTTTTTCCAATTTTAACTTAAAGCCAAATTCAGCTCGTGAGTAAAGTAGAATCTCGCCCACCGGTTAAATTTAAGAAATAAAATTAATAAAATGCCTGGTTAAATAACGAATCCACGGGAAAACCAAAAAAACTTTCCAACGCGATTGATGGGTATGCAACCAGACAACTACCGAAAGTGTAATCTTAGTTGCATACAGTCAAAATTGTTAGTGTTTAGTATTTGGACGGTAATTTAAATTCTAATGGACAAAAATGAGGTTTTTGACACTCTACAAGCTGCAAAGGTGTACTTGCACCGACTCAAAAGTCTGGACAACGAGCTGGAAAGCGCGGAGAAACAAATAGACAATACTTTCGACGAAACGGAGAAAATTATAAATGACACTTTTCATAACCTAAAAGAAACAATAACAAAAATTCTTGTTAAAAGGCAGGAACACTTGTTGGAGCAAGCAAGAAAGGTAGAAAATGTGTTTTAAAGTTTTTACCACAAAAATATTGCACACCCTTAATTTTTTTATTAAAAGGTTTTTTAATTCTTTTGAATTGTGTTTTTAAGGTTAAGAAGGGGGGTAGACATCCTCTGGAAGATTGTAGGAGTGTTGTACAGGAAAAAATTGACTGCACGGAAAAGTTGCTGAAAATGGGAGATCTTCTTTTGAGTGGTAAGGTGGATGGTGTTAATGAGTTCATGAAAAACTCTAGTTTACTGGGCGCTTTACCTGAAGTGCCTGAGCTAACAGAAGTGCCATTTATTTCCTTTCAATATGAAATATGTAATGAAAATGAGTTGACAAAAATTTGCTCACAAATCGGGGAAATATCAAGGATAGCTCCTATACAAGTAAGTTTTTGTCTGTAATACCTACTATTTAATGTTTTTTATAAAAGGTAGGTTAGACATGGGTTTTTTTTCCCTTCTGCCCTTACTTTTTTTTTAAATATAAATTAATAAATTTATTCCACAAATTGTATTTTTTTTCAGTGATTAAAACTATTTTTTGACTGTTTAAATTTACTATTCTCAATAGGAAGACAAAAATAAATTTTGCCCCAGGACAGAAATGACAAATTATAAAATTTGAGTATGTACCTAATAATATCAATAAATTGTTACTTTTTAGATAAGTAATTTGGGGGAAAGGCCAGGGGCAATACTGGTCGAATGGCAAGTGGTGGAAAATGAGGAAAGGTGTACAGATATACAGGCTTTTAGGCTGCAGAGGGCTTTTGGGGATGTTGTAAAGGAAAAGCATTTAATTGCTAATTTTGTTGAATGCTATAAAGGTAAGTGATTTTTTATATCAGAGTTCGACCGATATACATCATGATATTTATCACGATATATATTGATATTTATAAGCAATGATATATATCAATGATATTTATAAAACTGTTAGAATTAAATATTTAACTGCTTTTTTTTAATGGTGATCTATTTAAAATAATTTCCATTTCCATTTAAAAAAAGTATATAATTTTCTTAATAGATGCCGCTACTAATATTAAGAGTCTTTATTTCCATTTTACGAATTTAATAAATATTTGTAGATATTATTAAACACCAAATTTGCAGTTGATAATTTAAAAATGTGATTTTTTTTTAATTTAAATTTTTTTTTTATTTGTTTGTTTAATCCTGTGCATTGCCTAAAAGACGACCGTATTGTCACAATTCAATTGTGACCATTGTATACTGGTAAGGCTGTGTTATAATTGCAGTGATAAAAGTAATAAAAATAAAATGCCAAAGAAAAAAGATATCCATTTAATTAATATTTTTTGAAATTAAAATTTATTGTTTTAATTTTTTTGTCAGTTTACTTTTTGAAATAAATTTATTAAAAACATTTTTATTCTGTCTAATATAATTAATTTTTGAGCAAAACCTTAAAAGAAATAAATAAAAAAATAAATATCAAGATGTTGTTATCAGAAATGTATTGATATATATCCGATATTTTGGTATTTATATAAATATCATGATATTTTCTAACCCTGCAATAAAGTAGATAAATAAAGGTACACAATTATGTAAATTTCATTAAAATTCGACAAAAATTGTTCTCATGACAAAAAATCGATTTTATTTTATTAAAAAAAATTTTTAAGGGAGTTATTTTATAAAAGTTTTTTTTTTGTGAAATAAGGATTTGATTAAAAATATATATGTTTTTTTTTGTTTTTCCTGTTGCAAACAAAAAATTTCATTTTAATTTAATTTTTTTGAATATTAGGTATTTATTACTAAAAAATTCGCAAATTATTTCATAACATTAACTTAACCCATATTCCTATGATTTTTTTATAGATACAGGATTTTTGTGTTTCTATATTTAATCCTATTTTTTAAGTTTTTAATATACAGTGTGACCCTTTGTTTGCGACTCACCCCTTTAAAATCTTTATTTATTGAGCGATTTTAACCGGATTTGTTTTAAAGTTTACTAAACCTAAAACTAAGTTTAGATATTAATAAACTATATTTTTAAAGCAAAATAAAACATACTTTTACAAAATACAAGCCCTACTATGACAGTTTTTAAGAGTACATTTAGAATTTTTATTAGCGATTTAGGAACAATTTTGTAGCTAAATTAAAAATGCACAATAATTACTAATTATAAAAATTTAGTCTGTCAAGTTATCCATGAAAAAACATTGAAATAAAACTAAACTAATAGTAAGTTAGTAACATAGTATAAATAATATTATGCTTCGTTTTAACAAATAAAAAACGCAATAGAAACTTTAAACAACAATGAAATTCAGTATAGGGTAAAAATATGGTGTTCTTTGCTTCAAAAATAGTTTATCAAGACCTACATTTTAAAACAAATCCGACCAAAATAAATATTTTTTTATTTGTTATTCAAAAATACAATACCTACTTTGATTTTTTTATAAATTATTTTTAATTCATAAAAACATTGTGCATGTATTATGTTTTTGTGCAGGGAGTCCCCAAAGTTAAAGTTAAATTCCTCTTGAAATTCCAAGACAAATTTTCCTTTACATTTGTTCGAATTCGCAAAATTCCAGGAGTTATTCTACTTTTAACGCAGCCAATGAGCGCAGTATTATCAATTATCAATCTTGGTTGCCTACCTACATTCAGACACACTACATTCGTTTGATAGGAATATAATTTGAGTTTCATGAGTTTTCATTTTGCCCCTTAAATATAATAATCAAAGTTTGTAAAAAAACTGACACATTTTTTAGATCTAGACACCCAACTTTTATAACTTTTTTATGTAATTTTAGTTTTATATTAAAATTAAATTAAATCACAAATGTTTCTTCATTTTGTACTTTTAATATTTATTAATCAAAGTATGTAAAAAAACTGATACATTTTTTAGAACTAGACACCCAATTTTAGTAACTTTTTTTAACTAAAAATCGAACAAATTTTGGACATTTGTTTGCAAGTGATGCGAGAATTGAATATATTTTTTTAACCTTGTGGTTTTCAGGAGCTAAAATTACTTTTATTTATAAATTTAAAATTTTTTCAAGTTTACTAATTATGATCATAGTAGGCATCATAGATTTTTCTCTACCATTGGAAGCATAAAGGATAATTTGACAAGTTGCAAATGACTGATTGAGTTTCAATTTATAAGTGCACTATAAACTCAAAATTTATTAAAATTAATAAACTAAATAATAATTATTAGTATAGACAGTGTCAGCAAGTTAGAAATTATAACCTAATTTAATTTTATTTTTTGCTCCACAACCAAGCTTCATGGATCAATTATCATTTGTCCAAATTTCAAATCTATATGTTTTGAAATAAAGAAGTTATTAAAAAAATGAAATTTCTTCATTTTTAACACAGTGAAGAAAAAAATAAAAATAAAAACAAAGGTGTCAATGGACGAGATTTTTTTATGTTTATTCATTTGATAATCAAGTATGTTAAAAACTGACACATTTTTTAGGACTAGACACCCAATTTCTAGTAAGAGAACTGCAAGCAAACCAACTGTACTCTTTCAGAGTATGTTGTATGTTTGAAGGCTCCAATGACTGGAGCCCCTGGTCTCTACCTCAAGTGTCAAAAACAAATCTCAAATCTTTCTCGTGGAAACCGAGCGCAGACTACACTCTATCCAACGAAAACAAAATCGCTCAAACCACGTCAAACGCACCCGAAGTCCTGATCTCAGAGGGCCCGCAGTTTTTGGTGGGGCACTCTGTGGAATTTACAGTGAGTCACGTTTTTGGTGGAAAATAGAACGATTTTAATAATTTTTTGCAGCTATTGGAAGTCGATTCTTCCGAAGCACTCATAGGACTGCTTACCAACGAAGCACAGACGAATGTGAACGATTTCAAGCAAATAACAGACGGCACATTTTTTATTGACAGATCCGGTAGAATATACGTGGATCGCGTCGAAAAATCCACGATGTTGCCAGAGTTCACCAAAGGGTTAAACGTAAGTACTATGCTCCACACCTCAAAGTCCCACCACGTGACGTACGGAACGCAATCTTTTGAAAATTTGGCATTTAAGGCTTTTCAGGTTATGTATCTGTCAAAGTATAGTCAACGAAAGAAACAATATTATGTTTAGGCGTTAAAAATGTAAAATTCTTTACAATAACAATGGTTAAGAATTTAAGAATATAAATACTGCATTTAATGAAATTCTAAAGTGTATGGTGCCAAATAAGTAATATTTTTGTGCTTTGGTCCAAATATCTGGTTTTCTCCATAAAATAATTTTAACTAAACAGCATTTATTTAAAAATATCTAGCTTCTCTATTATGGAATAAGAATATCTGTATTAAAGGTAGGTTAATATATTAGAACAAAATTATCATCTAATTTTGTAATTTCAAGGTTAGAAAAATTTATTTTGACCAAATAAATAAGTATTTTGGATTATTTAAACGACTGTATAATATGGTATTTAAAAATGTGGTAGTTTTTCTTATCCAGCTTAAAGTGTACTTCAGAGCTGTGCGGTACTCGAGTACAAGTACTCAAACACTGTACTCCAAGTACTTTCAGTGTACTCGGTGTCTTGATACATTTAAGATTGCAAAAATGTACTCGAGTACTTTCCCGTGTACTCGAGTACTTTCGCGTGTACTCGAGTACTTTCCCGTGTACTCGAGTACTTTTACGTGTCCTCGAGTACATCCAAAGTATGCAATGAGTACATTTTTATGCAGTGAGGTTGGCGTGGACACATATGTGCGTGGGTGTTGAAAATTTGGCAATACTGCTCAGACTTGTCAAATTACGGACATGCTGCCTGAGGCAGCATCAGCCAGCTTGACTCACACGACAGCCTTAAAACAGCCTCAATCAATAAATAAAAAGACACAAAAAAGAGCATTGAACAAAAGGTTTTTACTTATGTATGAAATGTAATTTTGTTTATATTTTGGTAGAAATAAGGTGACAATATTCCTCAAAAAGATAATTAAAAAATAAAGCTAAGGCAAAGTGAAACGTGATACTAGCTGGCCTTGATAATTAACATAAAGCGAAATATCAATATTTGATGAAGGCTAGTGTTTAGTTTTGCACTAGTGATTCTAAATTCATTTCTTATTCGCCCCATTTCTCTAGCATTTTTCCCAACATTTCATAACTAAAGTGTACTCGGTACTTTGTACTCGTATGGGTACTCGAGTACAACGGTACTGTACTTGTACTTGGTACTCGAGTACTTTTATATAAGAGTACTTGTATTCAGTACTCGAGTACTTTTTCATTGTACTCGGAACAGCTCTGGTGTACTTACATAAAGTTTTGTCAATACAAATAGGTAAAAAACTTCAACTGAATTTGATCTACATCAAAAAATCATTATAACTTTAAAAATTTTTAATAAATCACATGTCATGGGAGTATTAAATATTTTCACATTGCAAGTTTCTCTAAAAATTGTTTATTTCCTTATAATCTAACTTAAAGTAAGTATGCCAAGGGGTATGCACAAATTTTGTCGTTGGAAGTATAAAAGCTTCAATTTAATTTAAACTACATTCAACAAATATTTAGTATACCTATATTTATTTATGACCATATTAACACACTCTTTTAAATAATCCACTTATTTATTTTGGGCAAAATAGATTTTTCTAACTTTAAAATACAAAATTAGATGATATTTTTTGTTCTAATACATTAACCTACCTTTGATACAGATATTCTTATTTCATAATAGAGAAGTTAGATTTTTTAATAAATGCACAAAAATATCACTTATATTGCACCTTACACTTTGGAATTTCATTAAATGCAGTATTTATATTCCTGAATTCTTAAACCAACCATTGTTATTGTGATACTATAAAGATTTATTAACTTTTAACGCTTAAACATAAGCGGTAACACTATAAATATTATTTCTTTCATTGACTATACTTTGACAGATACATAACCTGAAAAGCCTTAAATGCCAAATTTTCAAAAGACTGCGTTCCGTACTTGGTCATGTGGTGGGACTTTGAGGTGTGGAGTATAGTACCTATAGTACGTTCAAAAATGAAAAAGAGCGGAGAAGAAGTTGAACGTTAATATCTCCGAATTCTTACGAGATATTTTAACGAAATTCGGTATACACTCAAAAAATATATTTATTTAAAACATACTAAAATTGCAGCATGTTGTTTTTTTGAGTTATACGCGTTTAAGTTCATCCCATGTTTTTCACCTTGCGGATGTGCTATAGCTCGCAATTTTCGACTTTTTAGGTTAGTTTCACGTGCGAACTGGTAAACAACAACAAAGTAAGAGTAAATATCGACTCCAGTGATAAAAGAGTGACTTACGAATGGCAGATAAGTCCAGACAGCAAAATTTACTTTGCAGCTCAATTTTATTCGGATAAATGGAAAATAATGGTCGAATAATATTTTATTTCTTTATTTTTTTAATAATAAACAAATCAGTATTTAAAATGTGTCATTTAATGTTGTTAAAAAAACTTTCTCTATACACCACTTTTGATATTAATACTTTTTTTCTAGCTAGTTAAAATCTAAGTAACAAAAATATTTTAAACCAATAATAATATTGTCAATTAAATGTTGTCTGTTATTATATTAACTATAAATTATGTATATATTACGTTTTTGAGAGTTTTTATTAAAATAATTTGTTACATTTTAGCTTTTATACAATTATTATCTCTTTTAATAGGATTATTAAATTGTGTGATATGTTAGTGTGTGTGTGCAATTAAACAAAATAAACATTAATAACTTCTTTCAATAGTTTTATTTTACCACTGTTAATTAACATTTCTAAATAAATGTACATACATGGTGAGTTATTTAACTTGAAACTTATCTCAGTTCATTTTACGAAAAAATGGCGCTGTAATAAAAAAAAACAATTTTGTTCGATTTTTCTTCTGTATACGATTCTCCAATGATTTTTTATAATTTTTTAAATGTATTTATTTTTTAAATTTTAATTAAAGTAGGTGCTCAAAATGGTGGCCTTCGACTTCAATGCATTCATTAATTCACTGCTCTGGAGTATTCTCTAGATAATTCTCGTGTGCTTTCATAAGGATTAGCGGCCGTTGCTGCTTATACATTAATTTCATTATTTCCACCTGTTGGTGTTGCTCGACGAACTATTTTTTTTGGTTGAACACTCCCGTTTGTAGTAAACTGCTTGACTGTACGGTGAAATGAAGTACGTGATCGAATTTTATCCGGAAAACGCTGAGCGTAGATATTAACAGCATCATCAAGATTCCTGCCTGCTTCTCCATAAATCAAAATCATTTCTATTTTTTCTTCCACTGTTAAAAAATCCATGGTCTTTTTGTTTGCAAATTAATCTTTGAACTAAATTGATTAAATAATGCTAAACTATAAATAGTTTTTTATACCTTAATAATAATTATTATTTATAACTAAATACCATTTTTTTATACCTCAATTAGGATTAAATTAATTAATTGACAAAATAATGTTTTTTTACCATAAATGAGGTAATTTTATTAAAAATAGTACAATATTCTTTTAGGATTCTTAAAGGATTTAATGCTGGCAGGTAAAATTTTTTTATCAATTGTGCACCATGGTCACTTAAGTGACCATGGTGCACAATTGATAATTATCACCGAATGAAATAATGTATAAAACTTAAACCAAAGGAAACTTAAATATTAGTTAAAAAATCGTAGTTACTTAAAAATATTAGATTTAATTTAATAAGATAGTTATTACCAAAAAATTGATATTTTATAGAAAAATTATTGCAGAATCGCATACAGAAGAAAAAACGAACAAAATTGTTTTTTTGTCATTAAAGCTCCATCTATTACAAATATGAAAAAATGTTTTAGACAAAATCTACATATTTTTAGTCGAATGATCCGAATCTGCAATAAAAAATAGGGTGTTCTATTGGAAATTTTAAAGTTACCCCCTGTTCCCCCTATAAGGAAGAGAGTATGAGGACGAATTTAAGTACTGATTGATTTCCCCCCTCGAATCATTTAATTTTTATTTTAAACATTTTTTCGTAAAATGCATACTAACAGAGATATTTCATAGTTTCAGGTTAAATGACACCCTGTATAATAAAGATGTATTATAGGCAACCATTAACAAAATAATGCAAGATTAGTTGCCTAACATACACTTAAAAACATTTGTATTTATCTCCGATTGTAACCTCAAATTCTGACGGTTCAGCTGTCATTTCAAGCCAAGTTGTTTACAAACGTTCAAAACACAATAAAAGCGTGATTTGATCGCAGAAAAACAAGTGCTCGTGTAAAAATGGGTGAAAGAAAAGGCACAAACAAATATTACCCCCCTGATTACGATCCCAAGCATGGGGGCCTTAATAAGTTTTTGGGGACCCATGCCCTCAGAGAGAGGGCTAGAAAAATCGACAAAGGTATCATTATTATCAGGTTCGAGATGCCCTACAATATTTGGTGCGACGGATGTAAAAACCACATTGGTATGGGTGTTAGGTATAATGCCGAAAAGACTAAGGTCGGGATGTATTATACAACTCCTGTCTATGAGTTTAATATGAAATGCCACCTGTGTGAAAATCATATTGTGATTAGGGCTGACCCAGGGGTAAGTTATATATATATATATTTTATTAATATGCAAATAAATTCCAAGTGTAGTTTTATTAAGTTAAGGTAAAACAATAAATTGTATACTTTATATTATTATTTTAGTTACAATATTATTATTTTATTTTAGAACTTGGACTATGTCATACAATCAGGAGCAAGAAGACAAGAAAACAGATGGGACCCCTTAAAAAACGAACAAATAGTACCTGAAACAAAAGAAACGCAAAAAAGGCTATTTGATGATTCAATGTATAAGTTGGAACATGGGGAGGAAGACAAAAATACAGCAGAAAGTGCCAAACCACGTCTAGTAAAGCTGTTTAACAGAAGTGAAGCTCAGTGGTCAGATAATTATACTGCAAATCAAAAGTTGAGGGCTGAATTCAGGGTAAATATTAAAATTTCACTAACACAAAAATTGTTGCATATTTTTAATTTATGTATTTTTAAATATTTTTCACTTTCAATTTTGCTTAAATTATCACAGATATTTTTAAACGTAAATTCTTGATAAACTAATAAAAACTAATTAAAAAAAGTCTTTAATGTTTTTAACTAAAAACTGTTATTTTTAGAAACAAAACAACATTTTTAAAGGCCAAAAAGCAAATGATAATGCCTTACTGAAAAAATCAAGTCTGGACATTCCGTTACTGCCTGAAAGAGACGAAGATAAAAAAGTTGCATCCTTATTGAGCATGAAATTAAAATCATCTAAATCCATAGCAGAAAATACAGATTTAGTCAGAAAAAAAATTATATCACAATCTTCCCTACCCACGCACAATTTTAGTAAAGCCAAGGAAGAAAAAGCACTGAAAATATTGACAAAAAGTAATTGTTTAGGTATTTTATCTAAAAGAAAAAGTAGTGCAGTTTGTGAAGAAGTTTTGCCCAAAAAAATTGCAATGGAATCATTAGTGGGGGATTATGGGTCCAGTACTGACTCTGAATAATTTAAGTGTTAATATATTTTTTTGTTAAAAAATGCGTTTTATTTTCAACTTTATTTAGACTAACCCCGGTATACGCGCCCGCCATATGGAGGACTTGAAGCACAGATTATTCATCATTTTTAAATAAATAGGTAGTTTTTTTACAAAAGAAAGGAAGGCAGAAGTCTTACTCGACAAATTTTGTTCAATTGCACAGCTATATCGCGCACGTTATTTGTGTTTTACGTTGCAAGGAAAAAATTAAAAACTTTTTTAGTACCTACTCTATTTTAATTGATTATTCCTTATATCATAGATTAAGAAACTCAACGCTTAAATGCTAATATATTTACGTTAGTGTGTGTATTTTATTAAAGGGATTTTGGTGAATTATTGTGTTTTTAATTGTAAATAAAATTCAAGAACTAAATCGTTGCATTTTCATGTTTTGCCAAAGGATCCAATTCGGTAAGTACATTTGTTGGTGCAGAATTAACTAATGATAACTTTGACTAAAAATTTATATAAGTTTGGACATTTTTAAGAAATTAGTAAAAAATATTTTTTGCACAAACATAACCTTAAAATCAACCATTTTTATGTTTGAGTTCTCTAAAAAACGCCGACAACTGAATTTTAAACAACAGAATATACCTACGAATTCCTGGCAACATAATATTATATACAGGGTGTTTCTTTTAACTTGAGACAGCTCAATATCTCGAGAAATACGCATTTCACGGAAAAATGTCTTAAATAAAAGGTTACTGTGACTAAAGGGGACATTATTTGGTGCTACCGCTAGCCACCCCCTACCCCTCCTTAAGGGTGAAACGGGGGGTAACTTTGGAAAGTCAAATGGAATGACCCGATTTTTTTCACAGAGTTTGGTAGTACATAAAAAAATAAATAACTTTTATTTAAAACTTTTTTCAATTTATCAACAGATGGCGCTGTAATTCAAAATTTAAGAAAAATGAGTTTCCTTGTAAAATGTATTATTTGAAACGTTTGAAAAACAAAAATTAACATTAACAACAATAGTCGGCTATGAAAACAATTTATAACAAATGTTCGAAATGTCGTCATTCCATTTCAACACATTTTTGAATGCGGGTAATGAATTCTGGCACACAACGCGCCAACATATCGGGCGGTATCACCGCACAGGCGTTCCTGATCCGCACCCAACAACACAACAAATCGAGCCACGGTTTTTTTCGATATTTTTTAACATTTTAAAAATACTCGTTTGTAACATAAGCGTTTGACAGCTGATTATTAAAAGTTATACTTTTGTTACGAAGATAACAACCGAGTGGTGGCGCTGCTAGCGATACTTCTTTAGCGTGTGTGTTAAATGTTGACCACTCCTCGTATATCGTAATATCGGTACATTTGAACTAATAAACGATTTCTCAAAATTAAATTAAATGTTATGTTTTCTCTATGATTGGAAAATCTATTAAGTATTTATAAAATTTAACGTAGATTTTCTGCATATTAAAAAACTGTCGTCGGTCATTTTACAACGTGGCAACACCGCAGAAAATTGAATTCAAAATTTTGCGAACAAGTGCATTATAAATAAAGGCAATTAAAACCAATAAAATGCAAAATGTTTGAAAAGAAAATAACCCAAAATGCCAATCAAACTTTCAGCTAACGATATAACGTAAAAGTGAGGTATTATGGGTCCAGTACTGACTCTGAATAAATAAATGCTTTTTATTTTCAACTTTATTTAGAATAACCCCGGTATAGTTGTTAATATTGACCACTCCTCGTAAATCGGTACATTTGAACTAATGAACGATGTTTTAAATTGAAATTAAATGTTGTGTTTTCTGTATGGTTGCAACTAAAACTATTAAGTATTTATAAAATCTAACTTGTATTTTAACCACGGAGATTAGATTATGTTACCTTAACAAATGCATCATTTTCTGCATAATAAAAAGCTGTCGTCTGTCATTTTACAACGTGGCAACACCGCATTAAATTGAATTCAAAAGATAACGAACAAGTGCATTGTAAATAAAGGAAATTAAAACCAACGAAATGCAAGATGTTTGCAAAGAAAATAACGCAAAATGCTAATCAAACTTTCAGCTAACGATATAACGTAAAAGTGCCCGTGATTTCTGTGATAAAACGGCGAAAATGTCTTCGGGAAAACTGAGTGATGAATGTTTGGCAGAAAAGTTTCGTCGCGAGAACACAGAGCAGTTTTTAATACTTGCACGGATGCATTTGAGTTTTTTGTTGGATTTAAATACGGACGAGTATGTAGATTTTGGGAATATTGCTGTTTTTATGTCAATGTAATAATTTTAGAAGCGAGAGCTCGAATGAGAAAGTCAAGCAGAAAAAATGGCCTTTCGGGAGGAAGTCCAAGTTTAAAACTGTTACGGAAGGTGTCCCACTCACTCAGGAAGGCATTTGCCAGGTTTACCAGTTGATAGAGTTCATTAAAAAAGACCAAAGTATTTGTTTCTAAACTAAGCAAAGTAAAAAAATAACTGAGTCCTATTTTAGATATTACAGTTGAGGGGATATTTCGTAGGACTGGTTCTGTCGAAAGGCAGCAAGAGCTAAAAAGTTTACTTAGTCAGGGGATTACTTTGGAGCTGGAAGGGAGCCAATTTAGCGTACATGATTGTGCTTCTGTGTTGAAAGGTTTTTTAGCCGATCTACCTGATCCACTATTGACTGAGGGGTTTTTCCCTGCTTGTTGTCAAATTGCAGGTTAGTTTTAATGAGTTAATTTTTCTTTAAATTACAAGTGATATTTTAATTTATTATAAACAAGCTGTGACTTTAGCAAGTTAGCAACAGGGTCATTCCACGTTACTCGGGTATTTTTGTCCCGCCCGTCACAATTAAAAATTGTGAGTAAAAACTACACGTTATAAAATTTATTTAAAAATATTGTTTTATTATGCATTTAATAAGTTATAAGCACAATAAAAATAATATTATAAAATATTAATTGTATAACTTGTGGTTTTTACTCACAATTTTTAATTGTGACGGGCGGGACAAAAATTACCGAGTAACGTGGAATGCCCCAACAGTGACTTTTGGGCTTTTTGGTAACAGATTAAAGTTGGCTATAGTCAAATATCATACAATCTTAAAAAAAGTGACTAATGATTTGTAGAAAGTGAGGTAGAAGTGTTTGACAGATGTCAAATTTTATTTATTAATTTTTTTAAATTAGGTATTTAATTTTTTTTGTCATAGAAAAAGTATGGTATTATACTGTACCATACCATACTGCCCAACTATGGAGAAAGGCAGAAACTGCTAAACAAGAAATTTGTGGGAGATTAGCATAAACTACATTTTTATAAAAAGCAGTAGGTATTTAATTGATTTATTTAACTTATGAGATAGTTTTCTGTATTTCTTTGTTGAATTAAGATACAAAATAGCTTTATCTTAGCACAAGAAAACGCATTTAGATTTTTTTTGTAGTTACTGCCTTTCTCCATAGTTTGGGTGCTATAATATATTATGGCCTCAAAGTTACAGTTTTGATATCTTTTTTTAATATAAATTAAAAATGGCAAAATGACAAACTTCAATGGCCCTTTGAAGATTTTTTTTCAATGAAAAAAAATAATTATTAAAATTCTACATTCTTTGTGTGAATATTTAAATAATCCTTGTTTTTGGGACACCGCACTGGTTTATCGGCGAAAAAATACATTTTTAAAAAGTTATAATTTGAATGAATGCTCAAATTAGTATACCCTACATACATATGTCTACAGGGTGTGTCACATTCATGCTCCATTAGAAGTTTCTGGGAAACGAAAAAAGATCAATTTGAAACTTTAATAATCCATTTAAGTCTATTTTTCTAAAATATTTTGAACAATTTGCTACTTCCGGGTAAACCGGAACTTTGTTAATTGTGCAATAGAAAAAATTACTATACCATGTCCTATACCTAAAGTGAATAATGGTTTTCAAGTTATTAATTTTTTTCGTTAAAATTTGACAAATGCGCGTCAATCAAAAAATAGCCTTTAACTTTTTTGTTATTAGGGGGTGGAATTTTTGGAATCTTAAAAAATTGTTTAAAAGATTTCTTTCCAATTCTTTAAAAAATTTTGGTGAGTTCTGTCACTGTTCAAAATTAATGGCGTCAATTTTTCAGGTTGTTATAAACAATTTGTTGACTAACAAAGTTTTTTGTAAACAAAATTACTAATATAAAATATCAATCCAAACATTTTTAAAATTTAAAAGTAATACAAACAGTATTTGCTAATTTTGAAAAAAAATCAACAAAGCTGTAGGATGTCAACTAGATGAAGTAATAGACAATAAAATATAAAATTTATTTTATGAAATATTTTAATAACAAAAAGAATGTGTAACTGTAACAATGTTATAAACCAACAATATTTAAGTCAAGTAGAGCAACTTCTAATGTAAAAGTAAGAATTAAGTAATGCTTGAATGTAAATTGAGGACCCTTTAAACATTTATTAAAAATTGTTGACTAAAATTTTGTTGGTTTATTAAATTGTCACATTTTTTATTAGTAATATTGTTTACAAAGCACTAAATTAGCCAACAAATTGTTTATAATAATAATTATTATTGTTATTAATATTATTATTGTTTTTAAAATTGACGCCATTAAATTTTAGAAAATTTTCAAAACACTCGAATTTATGGTTTATAAATACCAAAATTGGCTTAAAAAATCGAAGATATTTGAATCCCACTTTCATTATGGGCCTAAAAAAATTGTTTTACAGTCTAGTCTAGTCTTAAATCAAAAATCTCGCTCTTCAAAAAAAGTAAAAATTTAAGTTAAAAGTTTTGGTTTCTATATTTTTTTTCAAAACGAAGAAAATCGCCACCGGTCAAATAAGGTTACGATAATTTAAGCAAGAGTTATGAATTTCTGAAAATTACCGTACCGAGTCATTCCACGTTACTCGGGGATTTTTGTCCCGCCCGTCACAATTAAAAATTGTGAGTAAAAACTACACGTTATAAAATTTATTTAAAAATATTGTTTTATTATGCTTTTAATAAGTTATAAGCACAATAAAAATAATATTATAAAATATTAATTTTATAACTTGTGGTTTTTACTCACAATTTTTAATTGTGACGGGCGGGACAAATATTACCGAGTAACGTGGAATGCTCCCGAATCGTTATTTTTTTGCGTTTTTTTTTTCAAAAATACATATCTTCGGGGCTTTTGAAAATTAAGGGCTCAAAATTTAGGGTTAGGCCTCTTTTGATACGTACAAAAACATATGAAAAATTTAACTGAATCAAAAAATACCATTTGGTGATTTGATATGGAATCACCCATATATATGTTTTTAAAACAGTCAATTTGTATAATGATAATAATAGCTTTATTGGCGGATATACCATTTTACAAGTAAAAAATAATGCTTGGGTATATTAAATACCCCCATATTTTGTAAACGATCTTTTTCGATTGGTAAATAAATTAAAAAAAATTAGATAGACATTTAACTATAAAATTTTGCGATGTTGGTAATTTTTTGTTCAGATTAGCTGGATATGTTTGCATAAGGAAATTTTAAATAATAATAATAATAATTTATTAATCACATAATTACAACAGAAAATGGTAAATATGACAGGTAAAAAAGATAAATTAAATGTACCTATACTAAACATAAACATGACATGTTTCTACTTTAAAAAAGAATAGAGACAATCTTTTCCTTAAATTCTTCTATAGAATAATTTGCCAATAATTTGGCAAATTATTATAGAGACTTCATATTTTGCATGCCAATGCATTTCGATGGGGATTTTATTCTTAGATCTGGTAGTGTATTGACACTTATTTTTATTTATTAGTTATATTTTGTTATTATGTACCAGACAAAGAAGTTTGTATATATATATATATATATATATAAAATAACCCTAATAGAATATTTTTTCAAAATAAAAATTCTATTACCATTTCTAGCAAGACCCCAGGATAAAATATTGAAACTCAAAATGGTATAAATATTTGCAAAATACACAGATGATGGATTTTTATAGTTTCATAGCTATAAAATCAATGTGTTCATCCCATGTTTAAGATTTATCTATTATCATTCCTAAAAATTTGCACGAGAAATTAAAAAATTGATTATTGATTTGAATTTCTTTCTTAATATTTATTTGTAAGAAATATGTGGTAGACTTTTTATTATTATTATTTATAGAATTATGTGGCATTGGAGAGGGTCCAACAGTCCAAGATGGCAAACTTTTAGAAGCCTTGCAGCTGATATTTTTACTGTTACCCATAGAAAACCAAAGCTTTTTGAAGGATATTCTCGATTTACTGCACTTGACTTCAACGTTTGAAGAAAACAACAAAATGTCCCCCGATAACTTGGCCAAAATATTCACCCCCCACTTATTGTGCCCGCGAAAGCTACCACCCAGCGAACTACTAACGATATCGCAGAAATACTTCGGACTGATAACGTTCATGATAAAAAAATCCTCGGAGTTGTTCAAGATACCTCGCAAGCTGAAGGTGGACTTCCAAGCCAGATACGAACGCAAGAAGCTGATGGCCTCGCAGAACCGAATACTGAACGAATCCGTGACCGACACCGCAAATACGGTATTCATAGGGTTGCAACTTTTCATGAAAAGTTGAAATTTTTGAAAAGTTGGGTTTTATTTTTCGAAAAAGTTCGGAAAAGTTGGAAAAGATGGAAAAGTTGAGTTTTTTGTAATGTAAACGTATAAAACATAAATAATGCTTGTCAATGTATTAAAATAATTTATTTCTTATGTATTTATACATACGTAACAAAATAACAAAAAAAAAAATCAAACAAAATAAAATGAACAGACAACATAATAACAACAAAAATAAACTAGGTTTGAATTAAAAAAATCATATTTTTTAAGTAAAAAGGAATAGAAATTTATACACACCATAAAAACACACATACAAAATAAAAAATAATTACAAAAAAATATGAAGCAAAAATTATTAAATTTATTGTTAAAAATTATGGAAATTTACAAGTAAAAATTTAAAAAGAAAAAGAAAAGAAAACTTTCTTCTTTTCCACTTTTATATTTTCACTTGCAAATTTCCATAATTAAAAAAAATAATATTTTTTTTCATACTGTGTATAAATTTAAAATACGTTATAATAAAAGAATTTTTATACAGGGTTTTATGTAATTAATGTTATATATTAAAATGGGTTGTTCCTTAGGGTCCATAAAGAAGCACCTGAAACTTTTTTTTTTATAAATTCCAAAGTCTAAAAATAATTTATAATAACCTTTATCCTACCAAAAAGTACGCCACTGATCGACTAGGAACTTTAGGTTAATCTGGTGGATTTATTATGTTATGGTTGCAGGGCTCCCACACCTCCTAAAATTCATAAAATTCCTAAAATTTGGCTTAAATCTTAAAAACTCCTAAAATTCTCCTAAAATTGCCATCAATCTCCTAAAACTCCTAAAAATTAAATATAAGTAGGCCAACTTGACTCGGTTTAATTAAGGTAGTTGTGCTAAAAAATTTCTTTTTTAAAAAGTAATTTAAAAAATATATTTTTTTGGTAAACATTCAATTTTCTTAGTTTCTTTAAGAAACTTTCTTGACCCATCACTGGTAATATTCATAAGAAAAAATTGATTGCGGCAAAGGCCACGTCGTTTGACGGTGTGGATCACCTGATGTTCTTACATCTCGCCTCTGTTGACTGATGAGACCCAATAAAGGTCGAAACAGCTGTCTGTCGGTATTTGAAGTTGGTGGAACGCATTCAAAACAAAAAACTTTGGCTAGGTGTAGGTTCAATTTTTTCTTATATATTTTTGGGTTCTAGTTTATTAAATTCTTTTTAAAATGATATAGGTATCACAACCTACATTTTTCTTAAAAAACAACAAAATATACCATAAAACAAAATCCACGTAGTAGCTTCTAGACTTCTACAAAATTGTCATTTTTAGCCATATTTCGTAAATTTTCAACAAAAATATACCGTGTTATATATCAAACAAAAGGATTTTTAATTTTCTTTTAAATGATAGCTAAAATAGTAAACAATCTAAAGAATGATTTGCTGTAATCATGCACTTTATATTTTTTTCTATTATGAGATTTTTTAGTAACAATAACATTACGATTATTTTTAGTTATTAACTAAACTGTTAATTTTTTTTCTTCAAAATATAAATATAACATCATTAAACTTTGGCCTACTTTTTTAGCCATATCTATCGACGCTTTTTTTTAAATAAAATTAAAAGTGGGGTGAAATTTTTACTTACAAGTAGACATATACAAAAGTAGTAATTTTACCTCACTTTTCATTTTATTATAAAAAAAACTCGTCGAGCGATTTGGCTAAAAAACTAGTCAATATAACCTTTTGTAGTGATATTTATTTATATTTTTGTTAAAAAGAATTTTTTTCTTATTTTTTAAGTATAGTGTAAAGTTGTTTTTATTTAATTAAATAAATTCATTTGCATTCTTTTTTCTCCTAAAATTCTCCTAAAATTCTCCAAAAAACCTCCTAAATTCCTAAATAAAATTTGTAATTTAACCGTGGGAGCCCTGTGGTTGGTAACAACAGTGTTTCCAAAATCTTTCAAAAAAGTTGACAAACATTGTTTAAATTTAGCTTAATTACAAAAATGACAAAATTAACAATGCAAATTGTCAATTTGGCGTTTTTATTAATTGTTGGTTATTTCATTTTTGTACTGAAGGTAAATTCAAACAAAATCTGCCAACTTTTATGACAGAATCTAGTGCATTTCTTTTAAATTTTAGGTTATGTTTTCAAATTGTAAATATCTTAACTAAGGGAAGTGCTTTTGGATTTATTTACACAAATTAAATGTTTAAAGTTTAACCTGTGAACTGGTCCCAATTTCATCTGAGTAAACAGAGAAAAAAACTGATGAAAAAATTAATTTTGTGGTTATGGATTTTAAATTTCAAAGGTACTAAATTTTCTAATCATTGCTTAAGCTAATAGCTGGATCAGTAAATAAATACAGAAGGGTATTAGAGCTTTAAGGGCATAAAACTTTTGTATTTATTGAGTTTTTATTTATTTTTTGCAAGAAAAATTTTTAGTAACAATTTTTTACATCTGGCAACGCATAGCTATTTTGTTGGTTGGTATCTATGTACTCACAAAATACAGGTGTGCAGAGATAAACAAGTGTGTAACCAGTGGCGTATCACAAAAAATATAAAAAACTTCTAATGCATATTTTTTCTTTATCTTTGAAAAATGCTTTTTAAAATATTTTTCCTTTATTTCTTTTGTCAAAAGGTATTAAGTATTTTGTCAAAAGGTATTCAGTATTTTAATTACATAACACCCTGTATAATAGAAAATGCTGTTAGCAGACACCATTTTTGATAAAGTTTGACAAAATGTTATTCCAAAAAACAATGCTTTTAGCATGTTTTACTAAAAACACTTCAAATCTAGCGATTTGTATCGAATTTTGACCAAATTATCTACCAAAAAAATGTATGGTAGTGGAAACACTGGTTAGAAGTCAACTCATTGTTCATTGGCTCCCATCTAATAACTTTTCCAACTTTTCTAACTTTTCATAGGGGGTGCCGAACTTTTCCAACTTTTCGACCGAACTTTTCCTTGTTCGCAACACAGGGCTGGATGCTCCCGTGTACGAGTTTTGGTTCGTCCCGCGCATGACGTCACTTGATGAGTAGTTGCCGTGCGAATACACGAATAATAGTAATATTATCAAAGAAAATAGAGAAATTTCTGGACATAGTGCGTTTTTATTAAACTTAATATTGAAGAAAGTGTTATAATATGGATAATAAATGCTTTCAGTCCTTGATAACATTTACGGCTGTAGTTTAAGCGTTGGTGTTTTAAATTAAACTTATAGTCACTGTCCAGAAAATGTTTATAGGAAACAGAAGCGGTCTTAACGTAAATATTGTCTATTATTTTTGAGGCATTTAAACACTGTTTCCACAAATCAAACTTTTTCGGGAATCGATTAAATTTAATGTTTTTATTTAAAGGGTTTTTCTTGGACTGGTTGTCCGAATTGCATCCAAATATTCCACACCGCATTTTAATAAATGCAAATGGCACTACACAATCTAAAACACAAACTAAACAAGTTAACGCAACACAAAAACAATAATAAACAAACCAAACAGGTTAACCTAACGCAATAACAATAATTTGAACGCTGAAAAGTAATTCGAACCTTACCGAACACAAAAACGACAAGTTAAACAAAAAATAGAGCAAGTTAACATCCAAACGCATCGCAAAAACAAGAATTTTAGCAGCAGATAATTAAAAAGCACGTTAAAGATTTAAAAACACTCATCAAGTGACGTATTTAAGCCCCGCCCAACATGCGCACCATCCTATCTTAAGGTGTATGTATCTTGTTTGCAACACTAGGTATTCACCTTCGTCGACCACGAACGCACTGCGAAGGAGAACGAGTCCAACCCGACGGAGACGGCCTTGGCGCAGCTGTACGCGCACATACAGAGCCTGCCGGAGTCGTCGAAGAAGAGGAAGTTGGTGAGCAAGTTCAACAAGGAGAACGGGCACGGGACGCCTCTGCAGGTGGCGAGGGGTTCGGCGGCGAAGAAGAGCTTCGGGGATTCCATCAAGAAGCACATCTTCCAGAAGGGTTTGGCGAAGCAGGCCAAGAAGGGCGGTTACGCCCATTTGAGGTCTTCCAGCGAGGAGATTCTAAATGTAAGTGGTTTTGTTTATAACATTTTATACAGTGTGAAATTTGTTGCATTTTGTTTTTTCTCTTAATTTTCTTGCTTCCTGCTTAACTCTGTTGGTGGTGTATTTTTTTTCTTTGCAAAGCGACATCTTTACGAAAATAAAGTAACCATCCCAATAAACATTTTTCACCGTTATTATTTTAATTAAACTTAACAATTATTGATAATTAAAAAAATTAAAATGACCTTTATTCTATGATTTTTTTCATTACTATAACTGCAAAATATTATCACAAAGTATTAAACATTCTTACACGGGAAATGTTAAAGGTACAAAAAGTGTACGCAAAATTTTTAACGCTTTATCAGTTAAATCTAGTTAACTGCACTACTACGGCAAAATCAAAAGGTCAGTACTAACGTTCATATAATCTTTTCAAATATTGGCGTTGAGAAACTATTTAATACTTTTGTATTTTTGTATTGAGATAATAAATAATTTTCACATTTAGTATTTTTTTTAGAAGAAAGGCACTTTATTTTAACGATTTTATGACATTTGACAACTGTCAACTAACTTCAGCCCGTGACTAAAGCGCCATAAAGCCACAACTTGCCAATATGTATTTAAAAGGTCACTTAAGCCTAATTTATAGATAATTTCATTTTGCTAATTGTACAGTTAATTTTACAAATTTTCTGTAAATTTTACGATTTTTTATTTTAAAATGTTGAAATAAACATACTTATAACATACTCGTATACCTATAATATAGGCTGTATATTAGGGTGATTAAAAAAATCTACTATTCTTTTTGACTTAAATTTTTAGGTACAACATTTTTTGGATTTTTAGGATTTATTTAAAATGTTCCTTAGGGCCGGTTTATCAGTCCGGTTAAAGTTGCAGTAAAGGCCGTATTACAGCCGGCAATTCTTCTTGCAGCAATTTTTCTTGCCATCAAGTTTTCAAGGCCGTATTGCATGTTGTTTTACAGTCAGCAATGGCAAGACAACTTGCTGTTTATTACCTGCTACCAACCGAAGAAAAATATACGATTTTGTAAACACTAAGTTTATTTGTTATTTAGTAGAGATATTTAAATATTAATAAGTGAAATGGATACTAGAACTTTGAACACAATGCCAATCATAAAACAAATAACCTTAAACTGTTTAAGTCAAACAGCGTCTCTCTAGGGAATTTGTAGTAGGGTTGGTAACATAAAAGTTACCAGATTTAACACCAGAATTGCCGTAAAACGGCAATAAGAATCCATCCGGACCGATTTTCGGCAATTGCAAGAGATTCGTCGAAATTTATCTACCGCGCATGCCTAGCGCAATTTTCATTGCAATTGCCGAAAGAATTGCCGGCTGTAATACGGCCTTTAGTTATTTGGCAGATACTCTCCATGGATACCATTGTTCTGAAGGCCGTATTACAACCGGCAATTCTTTCGGTAATTGCAATGAAAATTGCCGTAGGCATGCGCAGTAGATACAGTTGTATTCAATAAAAAAGCGTACAAGAATTAGAATGAGAGAAAACTGTCAAAATAATATTATTGCTTAAAACCGACTTATCACTGACATAAGTCATTAAAATAATTATTATAGGTTATAAAGAGCATTGACGTCGTAGGTTAATTAAATAATATTACAAAAATTATTACCTTTTAATAATGAAAAAAACACACATTAAAAAAAATTTAATATTTATATAGTCATGCATCCCTGTTTTTCTATTACTTGAGCCAATCTATTTGGGATGAATTGAATTAAATTTAATACAATATTTGGATTAATGTCTTCCCAGCAGTATAGTAGGTATAGTATTGTTGTATAGTTTCCCATAAATCCTCAGATATCTCAAAAAAGCAGCTTCCTGTTCAGGGGTGGACATTTTGGGACGACCTGAACCAACTTTTTGGTTTAGTAAATCTTCCTATTCCCAGCGTTGCTTAATTTTTAATATAGATTTTTTATTTCTATTATACCACAGTACGAATTGACCATTCTTCTTCGATTCTTGATACTATTTAAGCCTTTTTAACTGACGAGGCATTTTTATTTTCTACTGTCAGTTATAGTGACTTAAGTCAGTGGAAAGCCGGTTTTACGCAATAATGTTGACAGTTTTCTCTCATTCTAATTCTTGTACGCTTTTTTAATGAATACAACTGTACATTTCGACGAATCTCTTGCAATTGCCGAAAATCAGTCCGGATGGATTTTTATTGCCGTTTTACGGCAATTCTGGGGTGAAATCTGGTAACTTTTATGTTACCAACCCTACTACAAATTCCCTAGAGAAACGCTGTTTGACTTAAACAGTTTAAGGTTATTTGTTTTATGATTGGCATTGTGTTCAAAGTTCTAGTATCCATTTCACTCATTCATTTTTAAATATCTCACTCATTAATTTTTAAATATCTCTACTAAATATTATTTTATTATCTCAATTCAAAAATACAAAAGTATTAAATAGTTTTTTGACGCCATATTTGAAAAGATTATATGAAACTTTTGATTTCGCCGTAGTAGTGCAGTCAACTAGATTTAACTGATAAAGCGTTAAAAATTTTGCGTACAGTGCCCATTAAACATTATAAATTTTTTAAAATACAGTAAATATTTATTTTGCAAAGAAAACAAATAAAAAAACAGCCACCCACCTATATGTCGCTTTTGTGTTTTTTGTCGCTAAGCATGCTTCTCACTTCCTCTTTGCAGAGCCCCCAATCGACCGTGTTGGCCAGGGCTCGGCTCTTCTGCGCCAACTGCGACTCGTCCACGGACTCGTCCGCCAGCGACGAGGCCGCGCTAAAAAAGCTGAAAACCTCGTCCGGCAAGCGCGACGGCTTGCCGGACGAGGGCGCCACCGCCGTCAGAGACGCGCGCAGCAAGAGCGAGTCGGATCTAGACTTCGACGAGCAGTTTACCGGCAAGTACCTGACGAGCACGCCCGCGTGCTTGTCGCTGCGCGCGTGTCCCGACCTGCTCTTCACGCCCGAGGAGCAGGGTCGCAAGTCCATGTCGCCCATCACCAGGTCCACGCAGAGGATGACGCGGGCTATGCAGGTAGGTGGCGGATTCAAAAATCGTCCGCGGTTTAAATATTGTTTTATTTTTTTAACGAACTAACAAATTTTACGTAGAAACAACGTTGGAAAAACTTAACTTTTATGTTGAAATATCCCAGTGTATAACGTTATAATATATTATGAGAACGTTAGTTTCTAATGTTATAAAAAACGTGCGATTTACATATTATAAAACGTTGGAAATAAGTGAGGTTATAGTACAAAATTATTGTACTATAAAACGTTGGATTTTTGAATAATTTTGGCTAGAATTTTACGGAAAAATAAAAAAGAATACAAAAATGTATTGTACAAAAAACAAGTATACTTTTGAAAAGAAAAAATATTGCCAAACGTTGGAAATACGTAGGATATGTTTTATACAACGTTGTAAATATGTGGAATTTATTTATTATAAAACGTTGGAAATACGTGTATTATAAAACTTTGGGAATACGTGGGATTATTGTACTATAAAACGTTGGAGTTTTGAATAATTTTGTCTAGGATTTTACACTGAAAAAATTAATGGAAAAATTCAAAAGTATTTTACATTACAAAAATTTATTAAACAAAAAACAAATAGGTACTTTTGAAACGAAAAAATATTGCCAATTAACAAAATCTAAAAATAATATTTTAATAGTTGTAATAATTAATAGGCAATATTTAAAAAAAAACTCAATGTTATAAAAAACGTGGAATTTACTTATTATAAAACGTTGAAAATAATTGGGCTTTTTGTACTATTACACGTTGGATTTTTGAATAATTTTGGCTAAGATTTCACACTGACAAAATTAATGGAAAAATAAAAATGTATTTTATAATACAAACATTTATTGTACAAAAACAAATATACTTTTGAAAAGAAAAAATATTGCCAAACGTTGGAAATACGTAGGATATGGGTTTTATACAACGTTGTAAATATGTGGAACTTATTTATTATAAAACGTTGGAAATACGTGGGATTTGTGTATTATAAATCGTTGGAAATACGTGTATTATAAAACGTTGGAAGTACGTGGGATTATTGTACTATAAAACGTTGGATTTTTAAATATTTTTTTCTAGGATTTTACACTAATTAATGGAAAAATAAAAAAGTACTTTACATTACAAAAATGTATTGAACAAAAAACAAATACACTTTTGAAAAGAAAAAATATTGTCAATTAACAAAACAATTACTTTAATTATTGTAATAATAATAATTGTTAATAGGCAATATTTTTTTTAAATATCTATATCATTTAGATGTCGAAAATGTTTTTATTGTTCTTTGGTTTTTTGTTGTCCCAGGTTCATTTCAGAGCAGATTGTGTTAATCTCCTTTATCCAAACTTGTGATATTTGGAGCAATGTGATAATGCTGGATAGTCCTTGTGTTATGTTTATGTTTATCAGTTTTTAGTTAGGTTGATAGTTGTTTCTATTAGGTTATTTCTATAGAAAGTTATAACTTTATACACCATTTTGCCACTATCCAGCATTATTAGCTCCACAATGTTTAACACATTTAGTTCATTGTATAAATATGCAGAGCTAGTAAGAAAAGGTTTGTTAAATAAGAGCTTGAGAAGTCTATTTTGTGTCACTTGCGAAGTCCTTTTTTTACGTGCCTCCAAAAAGCTGGAAGATACATTAAGTGGGAGTTAATGTAAGCATTATATATTAAATGTTCAGTTTTCTTGTTTATTATTTCTTTTCAGGTAATAACTTAAGCTTCCAATTTTATTTTCAGAAGTGGTCACTAAAACTAAGATTATCATCAATAATTAATCCTAAATATTTTGCATTTTTCACTTTATCCAAAATTTGTTTATTTAATGTTAAAGTATAGTTATCACAGTTTTTTTTTTACTTTTTATGACTCGATTAAGTTTAATATTGTTTTTCTTAGTCCACACATTAATGGCATTTAGATCGCTCTGAGCCCACCCAAACACTTCCTCTTTACTTCCAGAATATCCGCAAATAAAATTGTTTCACTTTTAACATCACATTCAGTTATGTCGTTGATGTAAACTAGGAAAAGTAGTGGCCCTAGCACTGATCCTTGTGGAACTTCATAGTGAATTTTTTCCATTTTACTATTTTTGTCACCAATGCCTGTTTACTGGAACCGGTTGTGAAAGTAGTTGGTAAATATTTTAAGGGCTCTCTTTGTTACTCCAATTGTCTCAAGTTTTTTATGTAATATATCTGGGTCAACAACATCAAAGGCTTTGCATAAATCAAGAAATACAGCTAGTATAGTTTTCTTCTCGGCCATTTCAAGCGCGCGAAACGCACGAATTACAAAACTGTTTTTATAAAAAAAATTGTAGATTATTTGTTATATAATATTTTGGCATCAAAATTGTCAAAAATATTCTTCTTTTATTAGGTTATACATTAAATAAAAAAAAACTCAAGAAATATTTTATGAAAGTAGATATAATTTTAATAATTGAAAGGTGTGGACGGGACAAAAAAAGATTTATCTTGTCCCGTCCATCCCTGTCAATTATTGAAATTATCTCTAGTTTTATAAAATATTTCTTGCGATTTTTTTTATTTAATGTATACCCTAATAATAGAAGAATATATTTGACCATTTTGATGCAAAAATAATATATAATAAATTAGCTACAATTTTTTTTATAAAAACAGTTTTGTGATTTGTCCCGTCCATCCGCTTGAAATGGCCGTTCTGTTCTAAATTTTCATAAATATTTTCAGTTAGATTTATCTGCTGTTTAGAAATTTAATTTTTTGTAGAAAGTTGAGAAGCCTTTTATGTAGGACCATTTCAAATATTTTTGAGAAAACTGAGAGCACAGAGATAGTTTGTCAAGTCGGTTTTACTGTCTTTCTTATGGATTGGTGTAACTCTATTTTTAAGATATCTGGAAATGTTCCTCTTCCTTAATGGGTCTTTAAGTCACTAAAAAGTAACAAATAATTATTTTAAGATATTTTGTTGATTTTATATCACACTTTTTTCATCTAACCGTTTATTTGTCTACCCATGATACAAAAATCTTTGTATGATGTTGTCTACCCATATCAACTCCACGCTTCGCCACTGGATGTAGGTCTTCTGTAGGTGGTGCTTTAAGCTAAATTACATCAATTTAGAAAAGCCGTTTGGATCAAATTCTGATATTTTTCGAATGCAAGAGTCTTAGACCAGGGTCGATAATTTTTGAAACCAAAAAAAATAACAGTAGGATGAAACCCATTGGACAAGGAGAAGAATATAATAAAAATGAAAGGAAAAATAAATTACGGGCGATCTGACTTCGGGAAGTGGGAGGGGGGGTTTTAAGGGTAAAAAATGGTTTATCACGATTTCCGGCAAAACTACAAGTCCTATGGTTAAAAAGTTGTAGGTAATAAAAGGATCTACAACTTTTGTAATTACAATTTTTTTACATAACCTCAAAATTTATGTGAAAAATTCAAAAAACCAAGTTTTTGGTTTTTTATTTTTATCTTTTTCAAAAAAAAATTTTTTCCAAGAAATTTGGTGAAAACTTACCTTTTTATGTCCCAAATATTTTAATTTGAAATATTTATTATTTCGCCTTATTTTGACTTAATATCAAAAAAGCACCCTAATTTTCAATCGAAAATTCTCGCGTCAAAATATCAGCTTTTTTCAAAAAGTCGGTGTGCTTTTTGTTCGTTGAAATCTCTACTTTCGGATGGTGTAAAAAAATATACATTACTATGGTAAATGTTCTCAGAAAATGCAAAAAATATTATAATGAATAACGAAAAAACTCGAATTCGAAAATTTATTTTAATCATTATGTACAATTTCATCAAAAAAATGTGATTGTTGCAATTTTTTTTAGTTAAAAAGTTTATTTATTAAATTCTAATAACATTTATGTCAGAAAATCTCATAAAATATAAAAATACATGTAAATCATACTATTGAATTTAGATACTTCATTCTGATTACGTTATTCATTATAATATTTTTTGTATTTTCTGAGAACATTTACCATAGTAATTTATATTTTTTTTTACACCATCAGAAAGTAGAGAGTTCATCGAACAAAAAGCACACCGCCTTTTTGAAAAAAGCTGATATTTTGACGCGAGAATTTTCGATTGAAAATTAGGGTGCTTTTTTGATATTAAGTCAAAATAAGGCGAAATAATAAATATTTCAAATCAAATAAATTACAGTGTATTTGGGACATAAAGAGGTAAGTTTTCACCAAATTTCGTGGAAAAATAAAAAACCAAAAACTTGGTTTGTTGAATTTTTCACATAAATTTTGAGGTTATGAAAAAAAATTGTAATTACAAAAGTTGTACATCTTTTTATTACCTACAACTTTGACATTTAACTTTTTTTCATAGGACTTGTAGTTTTGCCGGAAATCGAGATAAACCATTTTTTACCCTTAAAACCCCCCCCTCCCACTTCCCGAACTCAGATCGCCCGTAATTTATTTTTCCTTTAATTTTTATTATATTCCCCTCCTTTTCCAATGGGTTTCATCCTACTGTTATTTTTTTTCTCTTTTTACCATTTTTAAAGGCTTCTGCACTGGTCTATCTCGAGTTTCTTTAATTTATATATTATTTACAAAAACTCGAATTTCTTGATTAAGTGCGTAGCAAAGATTTCCAATCATTTTGTTGGGGCTACAAATTGCAATTTTCAGGAAACAATGATGACACCGAGAAGCCGGAAACCCGTGCTGCTGCTGTCGGGCACGAACATAAACGCGCTACCGAAATCCGACAGGCGCGACCTCCAAATGGACAACGTGCTCGAAGAAATCTCCTACGAAGACTCCTCCCGATCGAGCGACACCACACTGGCGACCCCGTCTTCCGCCAAGTGCATAAAAAAGTCCAGAAGCGACGGCGACATAATCTCGGACGATGTGGCTGCCGGGGCGAAGCGAAGCGCGACGCGCACGCCGTCCGGCCTGACGGACACCTTCAAGGAGTACCTGAGCGGCCGGGACATTCTCGCGTCGAGTCCGGCCCTGGCGGACGAGAGCTTCTCCAGCAGAACTGACGATTTTAATTCGGCGGATTTTCAGGATTTGAGCGACAACAAGTTGTCCGATTCGCTGTTGTTTTGCTTGAACGGGTACAAGCCGGACGAGAGCGGGGAGAAGGAGTTGGTGCTGAAGCCGAAGCAGTTCGACGAGAACGGGAAAGCCATAGTTTTCGAGACGTCTTTTTGACGAGGACAATGTATGTGAAATAATTTGGTTTTTGAGTCATTCCAAATAAAAACACCAAATGGGGTGCGGTGCTTGGTTTTTTATTATGATAAAAAAAATTGAGGATGATCTTTTAGGTATCAAATATGAAAATCCGTTGCCGTTTTAATATTTGGATTCTTCACTTTTAAGCGGCACCCTTTAGAAATCTGAAATTGAGTCAATTTCTTACTCTCTTATAGTGAGCCAGAACTTTTTTCTGTGAAAAATATTGAAATGATTTTAATTTTGTTTTACTGTTCAGTAAGTGTGTTTTCGATATAAATTATTATTATCCAATTAGTTAATCTCATAAAAGAATGGTAAACCACTAAAGATTCATGATAATTTGCCAATTTTTGTGATTTTTGTCTGGCTCCTGTGTCTATTTTACTAAATCTAGAAAGCTATTTTTTTCAGGTATCAAGTACTTATACAATAGAAAACGTAACTATTATTTTAAGTTTCTAGACTATCATTTTCTTTAACTAGACTGAAAAGATGGGGACTACATTTCCTGAAAGTTTCAGATTTTTATTTTTTCCTCAACATAATGATTTCTGAGGACAAAATTGGCTAATTTTGAAAATTATCAATTTTCAATATTTTTTTTAATAAAGAAAATGATAGTCTAGAAACTTAAAATAATAGTTACGTTTTCTATTGTATAAGTACCTGAAAAAAAGCAACTCTCTAGATTTAGCAGAATAGTCTCAGGAGCCAGACAAAAATCACAAAAATTGGCAAATTATTACAAATCTTTAGTGGTTTACCATTCTTTTATGAGATGAACTAATTAGATAATAATAATTTATATCGAAAACACACTTACTGAACAATAAAATAAAATTAAAATCATTTCAATAATTGCCACAGAAAAAAAGTTTTAGCCTCTTATAAAAGAGTAAGAAAATGACACGATGACAGGTTTCTAAAGGGTGCCGATTAAAAATAAAGCAACTAAAAATTAAAACGGCAACGGTTTTTCATATATGATACCTAAAAGATCATCCTCAAATTTTTTTATTAAAATAAAAAATCATGCAGCGCACTTTTAAATTCATTTTTGGTGTTTTCATTTGGATTGACTCTTTGCTTCGTTGGCTGGCAAAATTTAGGTTAGGTTTTACGACATGACATTTGATTTTATTATGTAATTTTTTAGTGAAAATGCGTACATTTTTTAAAATAGAACATTTTACATATTTTCCCTGTGAAAGCTATAAAGTATATTTTAGAATAATTAATATTTACAAAAATATTTTAATATACCAAAAAACTAAAACTTGGGTTTTATTTATGTACCTCACAAAAGGTATTAAGTTTTTAAAAGTTCTATTTTTTATTCAGGAATTATTTTTGTGTTGGTTAACACTAAAGTGATATTTTTAATTTAGTGTTTCTTATATTTGTATTTTTTATTTAAACACATTTTTAATTTGCTTGATTAAAAATTAGATCTAATTTTTATGCCAAACTGATATTTTTAATTTATGCCAAACTGATATTTTTAATTTAGTGAATTTAAAATATATATATATGTATGTTTCTTATATTTTTATTTTTTATTTAAACACATATTTTTTATTTATTTTTTAAAATAAGCAGATATTTTTATTGAATGTGATATTTTTAATTCAGATTTTCTTAAAAAAACCTTAAATACGTAAACTATGATTTAAGTTATTTTATCCAAAATTTTATAAAGATTGGTAAAGGCGTTTTAGAGTTAGAATTTTTTTGACGCGCAGTGTATTTTTAATTCATTTTAATTTTTTTAAATCTACTTGATAATTAAAAATATGTTTGGCATAAAAATTAAATCTAATTTTTAATTAAGCGAATTGAAAATATGTGCTTAAAAAAACAATTAAAAGAAATAAATATTTGAAATTAAATATATTAAAAATATCAGTTTGGCATAAAAATTATATCTAATTTTTAAAATATATGTATAAATAAAAAATATCGCATTAACATGTTTAATCTGCGAATTAAAAATATCATAGCAGATACCTATTTAAAAATTAGATTTAATTTCTATGCCAAACTGATATTTTTAATTTAATGAATTTAAAATATGTTTCTTATATTTGTATTTTTTTGTGAAACACTTATTTTTAACTCGCTTTTAATTACGTGATTGTTCCGCCATCTAGCGAAAGAATGGGGTAGTTAAATTTTTTCTGACCTATACTTTTTATGGTTTTATTCAATGCGTTTTGTAATATTAAACATTTCTGTGAAATCAGAATTTCAATTAAGTTTACCGTTTTCGAGATATTTACAAAAAATATAAATTTTTATGACGTCACAAACCCCGTCATGTGACCAACATTTTAAGATTTCTATTGGTTGAAAATTACCCTGTTGTCAAGTTGTCTTGTTAATGATTTCATTCGGTTATGTCAGAAAATACCCGAAGAGGTTATGTACAAATACTGTCACTGTCAGTTGAGTGAAAGAAGAAGAAGAGAAGGTTAAAGAAAATTCTGAAATTAAAAGTTTTATTGATAGGTTTACACATTGAAACACCGTGTGAAACATAATAAAATGTAATAAATAGGTACCTAATAACTGTCTAAAGCAGAGTTTAATTTATTTCATAGAAAAAAGTGGCAAAATAAAGCTGAAAATGAATGAAATAAATTTAAAAAAAATAATAATATATCTAAAAGAATATAAAGAACTAGGCATTATACCAATGAAATGCATTTACGACAAAATATGATTATAATTATAGGTACTTACTTTTTTTGTTTAAAAGCTCCAATGTTCAATGTAACCAACCATTCCACAAGATTTCTCTGCTTTGGAGTCCGTTATTAATAAATCACTTATCTAATATCAATTACAAATAACATAACAATAACATTGATTTTCAATAATCTAAATTTAAAAAAAAACAACCCGAAAAAAAGAAACGTCAAAAAATCAATTCTTCTTCTCAACTAAAATATTATAACGTGGCGCCATCTATCGTAAACTAAACACACTGGCAACCATAGAAAAAGCTGGCAACGTTGTCAATAGCCTAGTGACGTAATTAGGAGATTTTGTTTTGTAAATATCTCGAAAACGGTAAACTCAATTGAAATTCCGATTTCACAGAAATGTTTAAGATTACAAAACGCCTTGAATAAAACCATAAAAAGTATAGGTCAGAAAAAATTTAACTACCCCATTAGTTTGGAATACCAGGGGTGTCCAAACTTTTAATCCGAATTAAAAATATTACATTCAATTAAAGAGTTTCTCCAGCAGAATTGACGACTTCAATTCGGCGGATTTTCAGGATTTGAGCGACAACAGGTTGTCCGATTCGCTGTTGTTTTGCTTGAACGGGTACAAGCCGGACGAGAGCGGGGAGAAGGAGTTGGTGCTGAAGCCGAAGCAGTTCGACGAGAACGGGAAGGCCATCGTTTTCGAGACGTCTTTTTGACGAGGACAACGTATGCGAAATATTTTGGTTTTTGCTTCGTTGGCTGGCAAAATTTAGGTTAGGTTTTACGACATGACATTTGATTTTATTATGTTATTTTTTAGTGAAAATGCGTACATTTTTTAAAATAGAATATTTTACATATTTTCCCTGTGAAATCTATAAAGTAGATTTTAGAATAATTAATATTTACAAAAATATTTTAATATACAAAAAAACTAAAAATTGCGTTTTATTTATTTATTAAGTTTTTAAAAGTTTTATTTTTTATTCAGGAATTATTCTTGTGTTAGTTAACACTAAAGTGATATTTTTAATTAAATAAAAAATATCATATCAGAATTTTTATTCTGCGAATTAAAACCATGCCAAACTGATATGTTTAATTTAGTGTTTCTTATATTTGTATTTTTTAGTTAAACACATTTCGCTGGTTTGGTGCAAGACTATAGTCTATAGTATGTTTTTCTCCAATTTTTTTAAAATAGGATATATCCTATTTTAAAAAAATTGGAGAAAAACATTTCTATTGATTGTAACTAAATTGTTTTTTGCTTAATATGTATTTATTTATTAATCTTTGGATGTAAAACCTTCCAATTTTTAAAAGAATGACGCAAAAAACAATTTAGTTACAATAAATAAAAATGTTCAATAGTGTTTTTCTCCAATTCTTAGAAAATGGACTTAGGATAGTCTTGCACCAAACCAGCGATTTTTAATTTGCTTGATTAAAAATTAGATCTAATTTTTATGCCAAACTGATATTTTCAATTTAGTGAATTTAAAATATGTGTTTCTTATATTTGTATTTTTTATTTAAACACATATTTTTAATTCGTAAAATAAAAATATCGTTTGATTTGTACAAAATTTTCAGGGTATACTAACAAAAATACGGTCTAACAGCATATTTTTTAATTACTAAAAAAAAATCCCTAAGAGTTATTTTTCGAAAAAAATCAAATTTGCGTTTTATTTATCTACCACACAAAAGTAATTAAGTTTTTAAAAGTTTTATTTTTTATTCAGGAATTATTCTTGTGTTAGTTAACACTAAAGTGTTATTTTTAATTGGTCAATTCTCATATAACTTGTTCCGATGCTCTATCCACTTATTTTTGTGAAAACTAATTCTCGCTCAAGGTTTTTTTTAGTGTAATAAGCATGTAGCATTTCAAGGTAATGGGAACTTAAATTATGACAACCCTAATCTATTAATTTTTTCCTAAAATGCAGGCTTTATGTTGCAAATGTCACATAAGTTACCGGTCACCAACTGCAATATCCTAACATCGATGAATATTTCAACAAAATGGCCGTTCAAACAACTAATGTTAGTGCTTGATTAACTAAAAATAGACTTAAGATTGACAAAAAATTATTTTATCCGAAATCGGCAGTAAAGTAGTCAACAATCGTAAATTAAAATAAATCGGCAGTAAAGTTCTACTTTACTGCCGATTTCGGATAAAATAATTTTTCGTCAATCTTAATTAAGTCTATTTTGAGTTAATCAAGCACTAACATTAGTTGTTTCAACAGCCATTTTGTTAAAATATTCATCAATGTTAGGATATTGCAGTTGGTGACCGGTAACTTATGTGACATTTGAAACATAAAGCCTGCATTTTAGGAAAAAATTTATAGATTAGGGTTGTCATAATTTAAGTTCCCATTACCTTAAAATGCTACTTGCTCATTACACTAAAAAAAACCTTGAGTGAGAATTAGTTTTCACAAAAATAAGTGGATACAGCATCGAAACAAGTTATATGAGAATTTACCAATTAGATAAAAAATATATAAGAAATTTTATTCTGCGAATTAAAATCATGCCAATTGATATTTTTAATTTAGTATTTCTTATATTTGTATTTTTTAGTTTAACACATTTTTAATTTGCTTGATTAAAAATTAGATCTAATTTTTATGCCAAACTGATATTTTCAATTTAGTGAATTTAAAATATGCGTTTTTTATATTTGTATTTTTTATTTAAACACATATTTTTAATTCGTAAAATAAAAATATCTTAGAAGATACACTGAGCATAACAAATAAAAAAATCCAACTCTAAAACGCCTTTACCAATCTTTACAAAATTTTGGACAAAATACTTAAATCTCAGTTTACGTATTCAAGGGTTTTTTAAGAAAATATTCTTAAAGCCCTTTTATTTAATAATAAAAAACGCTCGAAAAAAAACTTTTATAGGGAATTTTTTTTAAAGTAAATAAAAATTAAGCTGTGAAAGACCGTATTTTTGTTAGTATACCCTGAAAATGTTGTACAAATCAAACGAACATGTTCGTTTTACTGCAGTAACGAAAATACAGCGCTTCAAAGTTGTCAAAAATGACCACTTTTCAGTAAAATAATCAAAAAGGGGTTATTTTTACCAAATTTGAAGCGCTGTACGTATCTTCGTTACTGTTCGTTTGATTTGTACAAAATTTTCACGGTATACTAACAAAAATACGGTCCAACAGCATATTTTTTAATTACTAAAAAAAATTCCCTAAAAGTTATTTTTCGAACGTTTTTTAATTATTAAATAAAAGGGCTTTAAACATATTTTCTTGAAAAAACCCTTAAATATGTAAACTGAGATATTAGTTGAAGTATTTTTATACAAAATTTTATAAAGAGTTAGAATTTTTTTGACGCGCAGTGTATTTTAATTTTTTTAAATCTGCATGATAATTAAAAATATCTGTTTGGCATAGAAATTAAATTTAATTTTTAATTATGCTTAACAAAAAAAAACAATTAAAAGAAGTAAATAAGTAAGCACAATAAAAATATAATACTATATATTACTATAGTATACTATACCTAGTCAAAAATGCGTTTTTGTAAGAAGATATTCATTGTTTTACAAAATACCAATAATCGAATAGGTATTATTTTCCCATATAAAAAATAAGCTTTATTGCCCAAAAAAATCGATTTTGTAAAAGTGGTATTTTTTTAAATTTTTTATAAAAAGCCTTTTAAAAATTAAAACCTTATATTGACATAATTATAACATAAATTTAGAGATAAAAGTTTTACCATAAAACAAGTTAAAAAAAAAGAGTACTTAATAATTAGAACAAATCATCATGAGTTAAATCGGCGATCATATGTAATCCTCTTTCTTTCAAGGCCTTTGACACCAATTTTTGCTGTTCTTGCTTCAATTCTTGTTCTTTTCTTTGAGCATCCAAAATATCATCCACTGAAACTTCCGTTAAAGGCAGTTCGGCTTCTTTATCTGCATCCTGAAATTTAAAATAAATTTTTCTTGTTTTAATTTTTATATGAAAAGTTAACATTTCTTAACAATAAAAAGTTATGAAGATTTTTTTTCTATGAAAACCGTTTTTAAATGTAATATCAGATGAACTTACAATTTCTCCAAGCAAGACAACATTCTCGCCCCTAACAATAAAAACACCCCTGGGGATATCTCCATATTCCTTCCCAACGTGAATTCTCTCGATCGTCCTGTGCAAAACCAAATTCGCGAACTGATCGACGCTCTTTAAGTATCCTATTAAAGTCCTGCCATCTCGAAGAAATACCATCAACTTTTCTGAAATAATTAACGAGTTCAATTTATTTTACTTATAGATTTTGTTTGAATTTTTTACTGTCTAGTTCATCTAGCAAGTGTGCTGTGCCTTCTAATTTGTTCATTTTTTTGCAAAAACATCAACATTCGCATCTGAGTAGTTTACTTGAATTGTGAGGTTAGAATTTTGACGTTTCTTGAGTTTTTGCCGTGAGATGCAATAGTTCAAATATAACAACTATCTTAATAATTATTAGCTTATAATTGAACTATATTTGACTAAATAATATTTGAAATAAATCAGTCATACAGACACAATATTTTTTAACAAATTTACTAAAAGCAGTAGGCATGTTGTACTGATGTGAGTAGTTCCAGTAAACCGACGTAGCCAGATTGTGCAGGAAAGGAAACGTTGTCATGTTGTGCAAAAAATCCCAGATCACATTTTTTTTAAATTTTGTTTAGGATTATTATTTTCCATAAGCGTCGAACTTACAATTGTAGGTTTAAGTTAGTTTTGGCTAAAACTTAATATGGCCCTTCTACGTCTTCGTAACATATTAAACATAAATTAATTTATACACATTTTATGTATTTTTTTAGGTTCCTTACGTGCTGAATTTGAATTCGCTCCATCCCATCAGGTTTTTAGAGAATTCTAACAAAAGTAAAAAAAAACACTATTTTTTTCCAATATTTTGTGTTATATGATTAGGGTTATGAAAATGCATAAATAAAACACAAAATTTGAACAATTTATTTAATATTAATCAATCTGCATTTAAAAACAACTAAATTAAAAAGCACCACTAATAATAACAAATATTAACAAAGGACATAAATATGGTATACTTATATCATAAAAAAACTTGTAGGTATAATGTTTTATACATACACAAAAATATACAATTCCTTATAAAAATACCAGGCAAAAATACTTTTACCTACATATTCCCTGTCTGAAAAACTGCTCTTTTGATTTAATAAGTATATAAAAAAATTGCGCCTACTTCATTATTATTATTATTATTATAATATACTTCATTCAAACCAACGATTTTGACATGTGACGTTTGTTTGACAGTGAAGTATAAATCTAAAACAAAAAAACTAAATTATCAATCCAAAGTATAAAAAAATGTCGATGTAATGTAATAGGAATTGCTTATAATAATTAATTATTCATTCTACTCATTAAGGAAACAATAATATCTTTAAATCGGCATAATGTATAACAAGATAACATACTTTTAAACTACTTATGTGCAACAACTTCTGCTTATACTCTATGCAATTGTCTAGGGAAGTAAATGACTTGTTATGAGGGTGAATTACACAGAAATTAATTAAATGAGACCTTAAAATAAGACGTAACAAAATGTCAAAAATATAAGGGCATATTTCTGTCAAAATGACTTCATAACCTAAGATTTTTGACGTTTAGTTAAAAGTGTTTTGTTTTTAATACAGGTCAATATTTTAAAAGGATAAAATGATTACAAATTTAAACGTCACAACTAGCCTACTATAGTTATATTTTTTACCCAGCTTTAATAAAAAATAAATAAAAACAATTCCTTATGTTTATTAAGTACTCAACACATAAATACTGGGGGTTTATTGAATATGTCATGTGATTTGGCAAAAAAATAATTAAATTGGTAAAATATTAAAAAATTATAAATAAAACAATCAAATTTCATATTCTTTTATACAGTTTGCCTTAGGTATATTAAAACGGTAAATATTAATTGTTGTATATTATAACTTGGGTGGACATTTTTTTAAACAGTTTTTTAACATTTAATAATTAAGTTGACAGTACCTACCTTTAAAATTTTAATATTTGTTAACAATAAATCAAATGTCAAAAATATCAAACGTCATTTTAAGCCTAGGCGGCTTGATTTTTTCAAGTTATTTCAGTGTTTTGACCATGGAGCCTATACAAGGAGCCCGAACTTCATGTAAACAAGAATCTTCCTAAGATAAGAGGGCGCTGGTGTACTACCGGTCCAAAACAGTAGAGTGGTATAACCAGAGATGGCGCCACTACCTACCACTTATTATTGTGGAAATAATTGAGGTTATGCAACTGTCAGTTTATCGCTTTCTGAAAACAATGTACACATGTACCTGGTTTTGTGTATAAAGGTCTTAATTTACAATAAATTTATATCAAATTTAACATTGGAATTCATGTTGGACTTTCTGATGTAGACTATAGTACAGTTTTTTATAAATTCGTGTTTTTTTTCTATAAAAGAATGTCGTGTGATGCTAAATCGTGTAAAACATAGGTTTTTCTATGCAGAATATTAAATCCATATGGTATTTATATTTAGTTTTATAGGTAGATGGTTTAAATAAAAGTTCAATATAAACAAATAAAGGTGGACATTATTAAATATGCTGTTTACTCATTTTATACATACATTTTTATTTAAATTAAATTTAAATTATTAAATAGCGGTGTATTTCTAACCTGGAAATCTAATTTTGCCTCTCCAGAGTCGTAAAATCACTTCACAGATTATAAAGAATCTAATAAATAGGTTATATTTCACAACCAAAACCTATTTATTTTGCTTATCCAGAGTCGTAAAATCACTTCACAGATTATAAAGAATCACTTATATTTCACAACCAAAACCTATTTATTAGAATCTACCTACCAGGTACAGCCATAAATAACAAAACGATTCGTACGTCAAAACATTATTGCAAATCAATTGTCAAAATTACTTGCTTTAAGCAAGTTGCTTACTTCACATGTATTTTTGATACTATTTTCACGTCATACGGACGCATTGACAAACAGCGCCGCTGGTGGTGAAAAAAAAAGACTTAAATTGTGCAATTTAGTGGACAGGTTTTGTCAATTTTCCCTATTAAGTTCGGGCTCCTTGTGTAGGCTCCATGGTTTTGACATTTAAAACGTGACAGGCACTCTAGATTTGTATTTAATAACCCAATAATAATTAATTTTATTCGCTAGACCGATAAGTATTTAAAATTGTAAAAATAAATACTCAAATTTCCTGTCAATTCACCCTGTCTTTGCTTTTAAAAAGAGTCTACCTGGATAATCCATGTTTTAACCGGTTTTTAATGCCAAATTGGGAAATTGCTGTTCTCTTTAAGAAAATTGTAGGTTATGTTTGACATTTTTTAAGTTGTGAAGACAGAGATAATAATAAACCGATCCAATATGGCGGATTTGGGTTGGGTTGGGTGAACAAAACAATTTAAACAAAAAGAAAAAATACGATTTCTGTAAAAAAACCTTAATTATATAATATTATAATTAATTGCATTTAATATTTTTCTTTGACCATTTTACTTTTTTTCATACTTGCATGCTAAAAAAATTTATAATTTTCACGTAAATTATTTGACACATTTTTAATTTTGTCAAACAGTAATCGAGTAGTCTGATGGTTATATTGTTGTATATAGTGTCAAAACATAACCTAAAACGTCCTTTAAGCTTAGGCGGCTTGATTACACTAGATTACAAAATCCGATTTTGAAAATCGAAAAAAAAATTTGCCCACCATATCCCATTATAATTTTCTCATGTATTTTGACTCACTAAACACGAAAATCACACAATTTTTTTTTTATGGAAGCGTTTTTTTCAATTTTCAGAGGTGTTTTGACGTTTTTAATTATAGCTTGAAATCTAGTTGATCGATTTGGTCAAACAAGCCTTTAAATTGAAGGTATTTGAGCCCTCTAAAACTTTCTTTTAAGTACATACTTTTGATATCGGATAAGTATTTTGACGCTAGAGATTTTAATAACTTAAAAATTTCGTTTTTATGGCAAAAATTGAGGTCGAAAATTTACATATCGTCCTGGGAAAGGTTTTAATCAAACAGATAACTCCAGTTTGATTTTTTTTCGTAAGGCTAACATTTTTACAAAAAAAAACAAGCTAATTTTGATAAAAATATATAAAAAAATTGAGTTATGAAGTTATGAATTTTTTAGTGGAAGACCAAAATTCAGCTTTTTGACGATTTTTATTTTATTTTGTTCTTTTATTTTGTAATATGTTTATTCTTTAATGAAAACCTAATTTAAGTGCATGCTTGGAATTTTGTAGTTTTTTACGTACTTTTATCACCGAAAATTTGACATGACTCCGCAAACGTGAATTCTTTTGTTTCTCCTGTTGGCATAGTGACATTTTACTGCTATTTTTTGATATTTTGACAATATATTTTTATCATGGTTTTATTTAGTTGATAAAAAGTAGAGATGGGAATCGGAAAGTTTCCATTTTAAGGAAACTTTCCGTTTTGGAAAGTTTCCAATTGGGAATTTATTTTCATTTTGAAAGTTTCTTGTAAGCTACCGGAAATATTCCTTGGAAACTTTCCTTGTTTTTTTCATTTAAATGTCAATTGTTTAACCGCTGATTTTCGTTAAGGCCATGATACAAGGCCAAGAAACTTTGAATAAGAATTTAATGTGTGTTAATTTAAAGCAGAAGAAGAAGTATAAATAATGTTATGTTACATAACCTCAATGAAGCCGGATCATTCAGCATCATCACAAAAAACTTTTTAAAAAAAGGTAAACAAAATAAAAACAATAATCAAAGTTAAAATCATTTTTACATTTTTGTTGTTTATTTATAGGCATAGCACAATGACAAGAAAAAAATCTAGTGTTTGGAATTATTTTTTACTTTACTTTTTACTTTTCAATATTCCTTTATATTTGTTACATACTTTGTCTCTTTTAATTTTTTTACTAGCAGTGAATTTCTAATAGTAAACATTTTATTTTTATTTTTGTAGGTTTCAGTATACAATAGGAATATTCCAAAGTAAAATATACTAAAAATAGTATTGCAGTTACATTCTTATAAACATTTTTTTTATTTTTTTTCTTAATAAAATTTGACAAAAAGTTAATGTGTTATATATTTTTGCAAATCCCTGACAAAAAAAATATTTTCGCAATAAAATTTTTTTTTTTTTAACTTTCGGAAATTTCGGGAATTTTCGATGGAAAGTTTCCGGGAATTTTCGTCAAATGGGAATTTTCCCATCTCTAATAAAAAGTATAAAATGAGTTAAAGAAGTAGAGAGTTCGAGTGCGTAAATAACCCGGACAATCTGGGCGACGTAAGTGATGAGCACGGAGAACGTTTTCATATTTGGTCCCTCATACGAGAAACGGAATACGAAAGCAACAAAAAACAAAGGAGCCAGAATTTTTTTTACACCTTTCAATATCTTCAATGTTCAATATTGATTGTTTAAAATAAAAATCAATGTTTATTATTACATTTTATATAATTCAATAAAATGAAGAAAAAACGTGAAAATTCTCGAAAAACTTCCACTAACTGGACTTTCCCAGAAAAATATGTAAATTTTTGACCTCGATTTTTGTAAAAATAAAGACTTTTTTAACTGAGCCGATACCAAAACTGTACAAGAGAAAGTTGTGTAAGAAAATTAAAAAAAAAAACAATTGAAAATTCATATCTCAAAAACGCTTCCATGGAAAAAATTTTAAGTGTGATTTTCGCGTTTAGTGAGCCAAACTAGACAAGAAAATCATAGTGAGACTTGGTGGGCAAAATGGCTGTAAAAAAGTGTTATAAAGTGATTTCTTTGTTTGGACGTTAAAACCGTGGCAGGCACTCTGGATTCGCATTAAAAATCGTCGTCAATAACCTAACTTCGTCCGGACAACCTGGGAGGAGAAAAAATAAGTTAACAGAGTAAGTACTTGGTGTGTTGCGGCCCGAACGCGGCTCGGCTCGGACCCGCGAACATTTGTTATGACCTCCTGGGCAGCAGCGAGACCTCCTCGTGGACGACGTCGTCGACCGGCGAGGACTTGACGGAGCCGTTGGCGGCGGCGTCGCGCGAGGCCAGGCGGTGCGGCGGGCTCTGGTTCACGTAGTGGCGCGTGGGCGTCTTGGGGGAGGTGTTCAGCGACGCGTGCGCCTCGCCGCGGCTGTTGCGGTGGTGCGAGAGGTTCTTCGAGCTGCGCTTGCGCGGCGTGTGGCGCCCGCCGCCCAGGCTCTCGCCGTCGTCCTCGTCTAGAGAGTGGAGTAGCTGCGAACATTTCAATCGTGTACAATACCGCATTTTCTATTGAAATATATACACTCGAGTGAACCCAAGTGATCGCATTGTCTACATGGGCGACGATTTAGTCATATTTTGCATTTGCTAGTGTGTATTACGAGCGTTTTAAAATAAATAAAAGATATTATTAATTAATTATAATGTCCTACACATTGCTAGAGAAAATTGACATTGGGCTGGAGCGAATTTTTTTTTCCTTAGCCTGGGGGTGGAATTTGTAGCCTATAAAAAAGAAAATTTTGAAAAAAAAAATTTTTACTCAACGTCTTGAGGTGTCCCACTGATTTTTTAAATTAAATTTAAGTTAAAATTCTTTTGAATAAAGAAAAAAATTTTTTTGGCTTGTAATCTTCAAATTTATCTAAAAATAATAGTATATTACACTACAAGGGCAGAAAGTGTGAGATTCCTGCAGTTCAGGGCTCTCACACTTTCTGCCCGTGTAGTGTATAATATTTTTCTTGCTACCCGGCCGAAAATACGGGAAAAAATTAAATGTGTATATCGAAACATATTGATGCCTGCCCCGACATTTGCGGCACGAGCGATATTATAGAGGGCTTGACCATATATCAATATATTTGTATATTTTTTATTTTGTAGAAGGATAAAAAATTACATTTTCTTACTACCTCGGCCAAAATACGTATAGCTTGACCAATGCATCGAACGTAAACTTTCTGCCGTGGAATCGGGGACGAAAAACGTATTTTCGGCCGAGGTAGTAAGAAAACAAATTTGATCGTGTTCAACTCGAAATTCGCTCTATTGCCTCAGAAAAGCATGTTACTATTTTGGAATTTTTTTTAAAAACAACAATAATGACCACAAAATTTTTTTTAAGTTCATAACTGTTAATTAGTAAGAAAGAGGACACTTCGCAGTTTCCGGAACACTTTTGAAATTTTTTTTTATTTAAAAGACGTTGAGTAAAAATTTTTTTTTGTTTTAATTTTTCTTTTTTATAGGCTACAAATTCCACCCCCAGGCTAAGGAAAAAAAATATTTTTTTTCGCTCCACCATTGACAAGGTGACATAATGGGCAATTCTACGTCAAACAAGATACCTATTCTCAGTTAAATATCCGGATCGTTCTATTCCGTCAATTAGAAAAATAACAAACGTTTTTAATTAATTTATTTACATTTATTTAAAGAAGTTTGATTTTTAGTTTTGTTTTAAGAGAATTGATTTATTTATTTTAATTTGTTTTCAAGAGAATTAATTTATTTTTTTATTTGTTTTTAAAGAGAATGTTTTATGCTCATATAAAACATATAAGACAACAAAACAAATAAAGATTTAACACCTTTAATTAATAATTTACTGTTTAGTGTTTAGTATGTTGAAAACCTGCGCTACCTAATATCACCCCAAGCAGCATTTTTGGTTCCAAAAACCATTACCAAAGTGGAGATAACTTTAAATTAGTTTAGTATACTAAACAGCTACTTTAATTTTTACTTAAAAGTAATTCGTAAAATTTTAAGGCCAATTCTCACATAGCGACGCGACGCTACGCTACGCGACGCGACACTTTAAAATGTAGCTGATCAACGCGACTCGACAATATTTTGTCGCTTCCTAGAGCGACAAAATTGCGTTGGTCAGCTACATTTTAAAGTGTCGCGTCGCGTAGCGTAGCGTCGCGTCGCTATGTGAGAATTGGCCTTTAAATAGCAATATTTTGTAACAGAAACTTCATTATTTCCTTAAATGGTTACTATAAAGTAATAAACATTTAAGTAAAACTTGGTTGCCCCCAAGAAGACTTTGCAACTTTAAAAAAGGTGTTATAAGTAAAAAAAACTTGTAAGTACATTTAATTTGTAGCAGTTACTTTCGGTTGCTACCTAAAGATTACATTATAATTATTTTTACTTAGTAGTCCCTTTACAAGTTAAAATCTCGAAACTGGAACATGAGTTAAAAACTACAAAGTTAATAACTTAAAAGTTATTATTTTAGTATTTGGAACGTTTATGGTACTAACCAAAACTACCGTAAAGTAAATTGAGGTGGAAAAAACTTTAAAGTAGCGAAAACTACTTCAAAGGAAAATGCTTCTTATCGGCAATTTTTTACTGTACCGTACCACGTGGTAATGTAAAAAATAAATTATTTTAATTGTTTGTAAATGGTTGTTTACTTTTTAATAAATAGTAATTTTGTTGGTAATAGTCAGTATTAATAATTAAATAAAAAATTAATAATAAATATTAAGATTTTTTTATTTATAAACATTATTAAATAAATAATTTGTTTATACTTAAATATTTATGAAGCGCATTTATTTTACAAAAACTAAATTCATAAGTTTAACAGTAAAATTTAAAGGGTTTATAAATTTACTTGCCTAATTAAACATTATATATTGTTATTCTGGAAGTTATAAATTACGAGTACATATATATGTATAATATATATGAATAATAAACGACGACATTGAAAAGCCGTAGTCCATAGTGGTTCCATTTAAAAAAGGAGGGATAGTATAATCTAATATAAGTTTGACAAAGACAGTTAATATAGAAGTAAAAACAAATAAATAAAAGGAATTATAACGCTCTAGCAACGATATTGAAACGTTCTAGTAACGTAGCAGCCACATACGTTCCAAATAGTAGCAGGGTTTATAGCTAGTGACATATTTGTTACCTTTTTGGAACTCAATCATTGTTCCCCACTTTAGTCGTAACTTAGTAATGAAAGAGTAATATAAAGAGACCGGCGACTGTCGCAAAACACTTTAAAGTTTCTTCAATAGTTCCATATACGTAACAAATACTTAAATTGTTGCTTGGGACGATAATGGGCGTATTAAATGTGAGAGTAGAAAAAATCAATTAAAAAATAATAATTAAAAATTCTTAGAAGTGTGTGGAAAACAAATGAAGTAGCACAACTGGTAAAATTAACGTCAAATTTACTTTATGCCTAGTTAATTCATTTAAGTATTATTGTAATGAGTAAGATCACCTCAAGTGGACCCCCCATTTCCCACTTGATCGTGGAATTCAAATTTATATATTTTAATATAAAGTAGTCACTATCAAAAATTAATCCCCAAAACAGTTTTTCAAAATTTTCGTATCAACGACAATTTTTTTAATAATGAAAATTTCGAGTACTTTTAATTAAAAAATAGATTCCAAATCAACCGTGAAAGATAAATTAATCAAATTTTCAGGATTTATTGTTAAATATCTATATTTTGTTAAAATATGAAAAACTTAAAATTATTTATGGGTATTTCCATTGTAATGGGTGCGACACTAAAACTGCGTTTTTTTATGATAATAAAGTGTTCATATATATCAAGATACGTTAATATAAAGAAATAGTACAAAAAATTAGGTATTTAACTCAAACTAAATGTCAATAAAAACTTCTATAGAAAACCTTTTATAGCGTCATGAACAGCGTAACGGGCGCGACCTCAATGTTGCCACCTACCTATAACTTTTTTTTCGTAATAGACGTATGCGTCAAAATGTAATAGATTTGGGATTTAAGGTAATAGATTATTTTGAATAAAACATTTTTGATTATTTGACGTTTTACCGTTGTCATTAGAATAAAATTGAATTTTTACATGATGCTTTATAATCTATGTATGATGCTTATGCTATTTTAATAAACACAAATTTATAAATTCTTTCTATGGAAAATTATCGTAAGTCTGGCAACACTGCTTGAGTGTTTGACGTTTGTTGTGTGCTTATAAGCTTAATAATTAATAATACGATAATTTTTCATAGAAAGAATAATTATCCTTTTTTTACGATAATAATTATACGTACCTACGTACAATGTACGAAATCACATGTAAGATAAAATTAAAATGTACAATAATTTCATGTAAATCAAATTGCACAAGGGAATAAAACTACCCAATATTAACAAAATCTTATATTTTGGATAATTTTATTTTAATTAACTATTTTTTATTTTTTTTAATAATAAATTTAAAATATATAATAAGATTTAAAACACTTATATTAAAAAAACCAAGAAAAAATTAATTCTACAATAGTTTTAATGCGCTGCGACAATAATCTTTTTTGGGCTGTCTGGCAAGTTGCCAGTGGCAAGAATAGGACCACAATAGAATTTAAAAAAAAGTCCTACTAGGAAAGAAAAAAATAATAATTTACATCGTTTCGAAATAGGGTATGTATTTTCGCTAAAAGTAACAGATCTATTACTAAAGTAATAGGGGTGGCAACACTGCGCGACCTTAGAAAATCGGCAAATGCGACCAAGTTGGCTTCTAAAGTTGACACTGTAAAATTTTGGATAAAAGCATATGCTGTATTAAGACTAATTTTTCTATGCAGGAAACAATGAAACTGCAAAAACATTACCTTTCTTCTTGAATTTAACATTATTTCTTAAATTGATTCCAATATTATTTTTGTAAAGCTACTGAAATTTGGACTATTCTGTATACATGTATAGGTATAGGGAAAAATTATAATAGTGTAGATAACGGTGTTATAAAATGATAATATTACCCAACAGGAGTGAACACCAAATTGCTCAATTCTTCTAAATTAAAAATCTAGAAAAAGGATTGGAATAAAAAAAGGTTAAAGGAATAAAATATTTTCTATTTTTTGCGACTAAAATAAAACGTAATATAAAACGTATGTTTGATGATATGGTCTTTAAGAAAGTTATTAATTAAATTTAAATTTTTTAATGGTTTGTTTTTCAACAAAGCATTCCTTATGATGTTGAAACATGAGTTAATTGACATTCTTAAACTTGTTTGCATTAATTTAAGTTTGTTATTTTTGCGTTTAATTTCTCTGTAATACATTTTTAGTAATTTAGTAATATTTAAATTTATAAATTTTTGGAAAAATTGAGAAGAACCATCCTTCAAACGATTACTGCCAAAATTTCTGTCAACAAGTTTTGATTTTACAAGCAACTTCTGTATTTTTTTACTATTCAATGTTTCTGAATCACATATTTCTGGGTTAAATGTTTTAGAAAATGCAAACAAATATTTTTTGATTGTTTTATAACGTTTATATTTTAGATCGTGTTATAAGTTTGGTTGACGATTTAAGTTGATATTCCTTAAGATGTTATAATTTAAGATCTGATTATTTTAAATAGGCAAAACAACTATTTTATTTTAGTCACAAATAGAGGAAAAACGGAAAATGTTAAAAAAATGGATTTTTTAAAATATATTAATTTAATAAAATATAATTTTGGAGTATTGTTAAGGAGGTTCGGGTTCGGTTCAGTACATCGCGGGAAAGGGTAAGGAGACTTGCTCTTATACTTAATGCCTAAATAGCGAAAGGTACCAACTTGAAAAAAAATACTTTGATGTTTTATTACATTTAATTGAAAAACAGACAATTTTTTAACTGATAAAACGTAAAAAATAGGATTCAAACGCGACAACATTGCGAGTTGTTGATAGTTGGTTTCTATAGTACCCTAAGATCTTAGATAGTAACGCTCTTCGCTTTTGACAGTTGCAGTGACATTTCTTTATGCAGTGTTACTTAAAATTTAAAAATGTGTTGTGAAAAAGAATTATTATGTTCTGTGAAACAAATGAAGTCCACTACAAAGAAAAAAATATAAAAAAAATATGGAAACCAAAAATAAAGCAACAGAAAACATGCAGTTTAACAAAGATAAGAAAACCATAAAAGGTAGAAGATTGTCCAAATTAAAAAAAAAAATAACAATACAATTGTTTTTTTTAATCAATAATCAGAACGAAATAATGGTGGTCACCAAATAATTATAGAAAAGTTAACAAAAAATTATTAATTTTTCAATGTCGCGTTAGAAGATATGCATTAATTAAAGACATGAGAAATGTATTTAATTAATGCATATTTTATAACATGACAATAAGAAATCGATGATGTTTTTTCTCTTATGCACTTATAACTGTAGAACACGGTGTGCCTGAACGAAGTTTGCCGCCAAAAACTGATTGCAGTTTCTTGTTCGGGACCCTTCGGTGACTTAAAAATGATATTTACCAAAATCCTAGCTGCTCCTTTTTGAAAATTCATGTTTTTTTTTTAACTTTTGTTTATCTTAAAGTCTACCTTTGACAGAGTACAAATATTTTAATAATATTGGAGTATATTGTTAAGGAGATTTTTAGAATACTTTTTTATACTGTGCATATCATTTAATATATACAGGGTTAGACAAAAATCGCTTCTTTTAATAAAGCAAAAGCGTAACTTCATGATTTTGGCATAATACGCAAACAAGATTTATACCCACCCATGTTTTTTTAGCAATTTTTATTTTTATCAGGCTACAAAATGGGATTCTTATTAAGACTTTATATGAAAAATTAATTTTGAATAAAATTAAATAAAATAACATTTTTTGGAGATAATTTTTTTTGCGCATTATGCTTTTTACTATCTAAAAAAGTGATTTTTGGCTAACCCTGTGTAAATCTAATGATGTGCTAGTATGAAACCAGTATTTTCCAAGTCTCGTTAACAATATACTCCAATATTATAAAAATCGGTGTACAAATGTGTACTCTGTCAAAGGTAAGATAAACAAAAATATTTTACTGTTTTGTTGCAATAAACGTTCAAACTTTTAATCTAACCATTGACGTATACATTTATGTTCCCTTAATTAATATATCCTTAAAGGTTGCCATGAAACTTAGATCTATTAAAAATTTATTTGATGTTTGAATTGTCATTTTCAGTATACGTATTCTATAATTTTTGTTTATTTTTTATTTTTAAGTGTTTTTTATAAACAAAAATGAAAAATTGTAGTAAAAGTTACGAAGAAATTCATGAAATTTAACTAAGGACCGGTTTAAAGTTTATCGGGCCGATAACTTTCATGTCTTGGCAATATCTAGTATCCAAAGAAATTATTCGTCAAATAAATCAAAAATGAATAAATCGACCCTAAATAAAATGTGGCACCCTTAGAATTATTGTTTAATAAATGTATACTATACATTTAACCTTAAATTAAAACTTTAAACGTGTATTACAACAAAACAGTAAAAGATATAAAAAATGTATAGACCTTTTTTTAGGAAATTAACTAATCTTTAATCTGATTTAAAAAGTTATGATAATATTTGAATAAAATCGCAAGTTTTAATTGGAGAATTGAAAGTGTGCATACATATTTTTAATAAACATCCAATTAAAACAAAATTAACCGTCAATTTTTGTTTATTTTGCTCTTAAAATTTTAGTTATGACCTAATTAACAAGAATATAAAAAAAATTAGGTTTCACAGAAAGTCCAAAAATCACCTCTCAGAACAGCACCGTGAATATCGTACCCGAACCTCCTTAAGTAAAAAACAATAAATAAATTGATTTTTTCGGGATTTACCAAAATACAGATTAAATTTGTCAGTTTTGTAAAATGCATTTTTTCATCAAAATAATTAGTAAATAATATTTGAAATACTAAAATGTAATATTATAAAGAGTGCCTAGTTTATGGCAAACTAATTTTCTGTAATAAAACGTTTTCTTTTCGTGCAATCAACTTTTCGCAAAAATCTGAAAACTCTGGCCTACCTTGTCGACCTCCTCGTCGAAATTCTCGCCCTGCGCGTTGTCGCGCTTCGAGCGTTCCATCAAGGTGGCGCGCTTGGCGGCCAGGTACATGCTGCGCTTCACTTTCAGGTACAGCACCTCCGTCGAGGCCCTGACGGTGTAGTCCGGAATGAAGGTGTGGCGCAGCATCGAGTCCAGGTTTATCGACTCCAGGCTGCCCATCGTAGAGGGCGCTGCCGACGGCGATTCAACTGCAATTAAAGGGTGTCACTCGAATGGAAAATATCGATTTTATTATCGTTGCATTTTTCATAACAGGGTGTCTAGCTAGACTAAAAAAAATTAACGAATATGTACAATTCTTTTTACCAATGTTTTTGAGATTAAAAGAAACAAAATTCGACACGGTGCACAGTGTTTCAATTCTGGAAAATATCGGCAAAACCTCAAAAATTGACATTTTTTTTCAGGTAAATTTTGAGTTAGATGGGTAGTTAATACCTGTATCCATTCTGTATTGAAAAAAAAATTATATAAAATACGTATATGTTGTCTTGTACATCAGTTTAAACTTGACGCTTTCAGTTGAAGGTACTTTACACGCGATCGCTGCGAAAAATTGTTTATTGTTTAAAAGTGAATAACTTGTGTTTGGTGTGTCCGATTGTTATCCGGTTTGATGAAGGGGGATCTTCAAGGTATCTTAAATTCAGATATGTATTTGTTTTTCGTAGATTTTGCTTGTACAACGGGTTATTGTAACCGACAAGATCGGTCTGTTAAAATCGCAAACTTTGAATCGAGCTTTTAGAACAATGGAGCTACAAAAATGGTAATGAATTGTAAGGCATCAGTTCAAGATCCGTTGAATAGCTTAGAGTTTTGTCTATCAAGCCATCAATAAATTAGCTGCCCCAACTTGCCCTCGGCTCTTTAAAACTACATGTTCATGGGCGCTCAGGCACGGTTGTGGTAAAAAACCTCGCGATTTTAAGCCTATGTCGAGCGCGTATCTGTGTTTTTGCTTTACAAAATATAAGATTTTTTTTTTATTTCTGGGTTGCGTTCATAACGTTTACTTGATTCACTCGGATTTAACTCAAATGTTTATTACAACAGCGGTGTCTATACTTTCACTTGCGTAAATCGTTCGTGACTACTAAGATTTAACACCGATTTTACGTATTTAACCCACCTCTTGTAGGTGCGTTAAAACAACTCTGCATGCGCATTGTAGTGTGTTAATGTCAAATTTGAATTGTGGTTATTTGTGTTGACAATTTTTTTAGCGAATTAAGAAATCGTTGCTAAAATATTAAGTAAAAGAAATAATACAAATTTAAAATACTTGTATAAAATCTGTTATATTTAAATTTCATAAATAAATTTTTAAATTTCTCGGGAGAAAACGATGGAAGATGTTTTCCATTGGCTTATGGCATCTTCCGATCCGTATATTTCTAGCTTCAGAAAAATTGCTCCGAAAAAGAGCAAATCCCGCGAAGCAATAAAACTGTTGCTATCTTCTGATGGTTTCCCATGCTCTGCTAATGATACAACGAACGAATCCAGTGACGGAGATTGTTTAGGTATTAAATAATATCATATAAATGTAATTATAATAAACTAAATTAAGCTATTTTATAAAAAGATGTTTTATTACATTTTAAAAAGAACCTCTTACGGATTTTTAATTAATTTCAACAATATTTGATAAAAATGTCCGCCATTTGAGGTCTACCATTTTGAATTTTGGAATTCTGATTCCAGATTCGTTATCAGCGACCTTAAAAACCCTGTATGGTGATTTTCAATTTATTACGTCAATTTTTTGACAAATATGTCCGCCATTTTGGATCTACCATTTTGAATTTTGGAATTCTGATTCCAGATTCGTTATCAGCGACCCCAAAAACCTCTACATACTGATTTTTAGGAGAATCCGACTACTCCTTGATATTTTGCCAAAAATTTCGAAAATTGAAACACTGTGCGGTGGTCAAAACTTAAGTATAGGACGAACAAAAATGCCAACCAAAACTGATAGCATATTTTGATTATAGACCCTTTTGGTAACACTAACATGTATTTATCAAAATCCCAGCTGATCCTATTTTAAGTTTTGCAAACTTTTTTGTTTTTCTATTTCTATATATTATTTTGCAATTATTGTACTAAAACTACCTGTACAATTTTAATAGAATTAAGCAAAATAATAAACTTTAATTTAAATTACTTTACTCCCCAGTATTAATTTATTGAGTCACCTATTATTTTTTACCACTAAAACAAAACATAACAAAAAAAAACCGAAGATTTATATCTTAAATATTTTTTATAACAAAAAATACTGGAAGTTTGTCTATGAAATAATTACAACTTGCAAATTTTGTAAAACAATAATTAAGGTGGTTATGAAAAAAATTGCTATACGTTATAACACAAGTGACATTTTGCTTTAGTTGTTTATTTAATGTATACTTTATAAAGTTAAAAATAGCATTTTAAAATGAAAATTAAACCGAAATTCAAGTTAAGCCGTGAAGAAAATCGAAAGAAGGCATGTGCTGGCTGTGGAGACAAAATTGTTTTTGGTAATCGAAAAATTCAGAGTTTAGGGTTTCTGAGAAAATATAAAAATTACTGCAGACTTTTTCAAACGAACACTTTAACTTAAGTGATTCAAAATTACCTACTTTAATATGGTAAAAACGGTATTTTTGCATAGCCACAATTGCCAAATTTTCAAAATTTAGAAATTGCTAGAGAATTTCGCGGCAGCCAAGAATGTATGTGCTTTATCTGCAAAATGGCAAGATATAAAGGGCATAAAAAATTATTAAGGGAAGAGGACGGACGAACGAACTAAAGTTTTGATATGCTCTTCCTCTCTAGGGGATATCGCTAGATGTAAGAAGCATGTTTGTACAGAGACTGAAGAATTTAAAAATACTGTTTCCATGTAAAACCCAAGAAAAAGTTTTACTGAAAATTTAAGGCAAGCAGTAATCGATTTTGCTTCAAAGAATCTTTAGTTATTTATTATGTACCTTAAAAAAATAAATAACATATTGCAAACTGTATTTTACATTATTTTGTATTTATAATGTAATTTATCCATATTTCAGTCATGTATCTGCCAAATTTTTAAAAACATTTGATAATGGTACTAGAGTATTTTATCGAAATTCCATAAACAATTTTAAAATACTAAGAAATATGCAAAACTTTAATAAAGGATCAGCTGGGATTTTGATGAATACATTTTTGTGAGAGTCTATAATCAGATTATGCTATCAGTTTTGGTTGGCATTTTTGTTCGTCCTATACTTTAGTTTTGACCACCGTGTCGAGTGCACACTGTGTATAAAAAATGTAGTAAAACATAAATAAATTTCAAACATCAATTTTGTAGGTGTCAAATTAGAAACAAATCCTGTTAAAAAAAAGCCAATTATTTAACGGATTAACAAGCTGAAAATCAAGTAGACTGGTTTTATAGCCCTAAGTACATAGGTTGAGTAGCGAATACAATAATGGTAGCTTCTAAGACTAGCAATAAAAAGCGCGTGTACTTTTATCTTTTTGCTTATAAATATGCCTATCGAAAGATGGATTTTTTAAAATCCTCTTGATAAACCTGATTGGTCTTACCATTTCTGGAAGGTTCCTGACTTGGGGGATATCCTGTATAGAGAAATGAGGGAAATTAAATAAAATTTCAAAACGTGTTTAGTAATCAAAAACAATTAAATTTATCGTTTAAAAAAACAAACTGAAAATTCAAAAATATTTTTTAGCGCGTTCGTCCAATTTTAGCGTTTAAATGCAAATAACTGAAGATAATTTAAGGGAAATGAATTGTGCTACAAAAAAGGCTATATGAAATTTTGCAATAAGTTTGAGTTTTCCGGGGAAAGTGTGAAAATCTTGAAATTTACTGTAAATTTACTTTGGCTTTGAATAAATTTTGAAATAGGTATTTATCAGAAAATGATAAGAAACTTCAATATTCTGAATACTATTTTCCATAGGTATACTTTTTGAAGTTAGTGAAGTTACAATTTTGTAATTGTTTTTTACCATAAATTAAAAACGGCTTACCTGATTTTGCTAAAATTTGTTGTTGACAGCTTTGCTTTATATGATAAAAAATTCCATAGGGAGAAACGATTTTTTAGCCAAATTAAAAATAAACAATAATTTACTATTTTTGTTCAAGTTATCTATGAAAAAACATTGAAATAAAATTAAACTAATAGCAACATGGTAAATATATTCTTATGCTTAGTTTTAACAAATTAAAAACGTAATAGAAACATAAAACAACAATGAAACCAAAAATAGAGAATTCCAAAAATTCTACACCTCTACTAACCACCATTTATTTATTTAATTGTAGAGAACTTTTAAAATCTATTTTTTGTTTTTTTATTGTTTTAAGTTTCTATAGCGTTTATTATTTAAAAACTAAGCGTTGGTTGATATTAGTTTAATTTTATTTCAATGTTTTTTTCATGGATAACTTGACAGAATAAATTTTTGTAGATGGTTATTATTGTTTATTTTTAATTTGGCTACAAATTCGTTTCTAATTATAATTTCTCAATGAAATTAAGTATAGAGTCGTTTTGAGGGGTGGTAAATCCAGTGCCAAATTTTTTGAAATCGCTAATATGAATTCTTAAAAACTGACATAGTATTTTGTAAAAATATGGCGTTTTTTGCTCCAAAAATACAATTTATCAAGATCTACACTTTAAAACAAATCCGGTTAAAATCGCAAAATAAATAAAGATTTTAACCGGATTTGTTTTAAATTGTAAATCTTGATAAACCGTACTTTTGAAGCCAAAAAAACGCCATATTTATAAATACCAAATTAAAGCAAAATCTTTTTATAGTAATTTACAGTAAAAAAACTATTTTAAAATAGTAATCTTGCGGCCAAATAGCCCTATTTACTAAGTAGGGTTTTAATATTCCGAAAAAAGGTTTTTTTCAGAAAAAAAGCTGAGAAATTGAAATTTTTCTTTAGAAAAATTGATTTTTATAAATTTTAACAAAGGATAATAAGGAAAAATGAAAGAAAATTTATCTAAAAATTTTCAAATATCTCAAGAAAAAAGTGAATTTTCGACACTGATTATAATACATGAATATAATAATTATTCCTAAATATTGTTATAATTCAGTAAGAATCTTTTACCGGGTCGCAAAAAAACAAATTCGGTGATGTATTAACATAACTATTGTTAAATTTAATCGATTAATAAAATTATAATTTTGTAATTTAACTTTATAAATCATTCATTTTGTAAATGGATATTTTCAATGGACTTTTCAAAAAGGACCCAACCAACAGTATATTTAACGTTTACATTTATTTTTTTAAATTAATTCAATTCAATAATTATTATTATTAATTATTCAATTCAATGTTTAGTTTTATTTGATTTTTTTTCTGTAATAAACTTATTATCCTTAAGGATATTTTTTAATTAAAATAATGTTAAGTTGTTTATTGCTTTGTATATTTTCAAAAAAAAAATCAATTTTAAAAAATCCAATTTTTCCAAGGCCTGGGAGAAAACAGAAAAACTAAAATCAACTTATTTTACAGACCCTGTAGATTGTTTTAAAATATTAAAAATTGGTTCGGAAAATATCATAAAAAGGTGCATAATCTTTAAAAAAAGCCTATAATTCCATTTTTTTTAATAGAAGGTGTTCCATTAAAAATGAGTGATAATGAATAATAATAATGAACAACATCGATATTATTTGCGCTTTAATTCTCAGGAAAAATTCCACCTTTATCTTTTTTGTCCAAACGATTTTTAATTAAATAAATAAAATTTGTTTATGTGCATATCACTTGCGGATATGACTCATGAGTAATGAAGAGTAGAGACAGGAATAAATATTTGTTCTAAAAATGCAAAACAAGCAGTTAAATTTTGATGGAAACTTTATTCCTTAATATCATTATTCGATTAAGACCCTTAAATATATGCATACAATTATCATAATGATTCTCACATTCTTAATAATATCACGAACATTATAATACACTCACAGGCAAAATAATCGATCCACACAAATTTTCGATGAATTTCAATCGCAAATAACTTTTTTATTTGATTTCGGTTTTAAACAAATATTAAAGAATATTGTAGATACATTAGTAGAGAATCGCTCACATTTTAAAAATTACTAAAACATACACGTACGTTTATAATATACAAGTTTAAACAAAAAGATGTTTTTACCATAAGTTTAAGAGACTCTGTAGAGTGGCAAAACCGTATATTGTTCTAAATTAAATTGTAATTATCAAGTCACATCTATTTTTAACAGTTTTGTTTTTGGTTCACCTTGATATTTTTATTTTTGTGGAAAATATGGATTAAAAAAAAAACATTGCAATTTCCAATATTTTCCTGTATGAAGAACTAAGGTTGCTATGGTCCATCCATAGCCTATGGAGGATGACAGTGACAGTTCTTTTGAATCATCCCATACTTGGACATGTCATATACATCTTTCAAAAGCTATCAAATTGTTTTTTGTAAATTAATGTGTTAATTTTGAGGTGTCTTCTTACTTTTAAAAATGTCTCCGACTGATGTTGCCCTTTGTACTTTAATTCTTGTGACGTTTAAAACACTTGCCACGTAATACTGTGACCGTCCATCCTGGATTAAATTAATGGCTCTGGCAACATCAGTCGGAGACATATCCATTTTTTAAGTAAGAAGACACCTCAAAATTTAAACATTAATTTTCAAAAAACAATTTGATAGCTTTTGAAAGCCGTGTATGACATGTCAAAGTATGGGATGATTCAACAGAACTGTCACTGTCATCCTCCATAGCCTATGGATGGACCATAGCAACCTTAGTTCTTCATACAGAAAAATATTGGAAATTGCAATGTTTTTTTTAAAATTCCATATTTTCCACAAAAATAAATATATCGAGGTGAACCAAAAACAAAACTGTTAAGAATAGATGTGACTTGATAAATAAGAAATTTAGAACAATATACGGTTTTGCCACTCTACAGAGTGTCTTAAACTTATGGTAAAAAACATATTTTTGTTTAAAACTTTATATTATAAACGTACGTCTATTTTTTAGTAATTTTTAAAATGTGAGCAATTCTCCATTATTTTATTTACAATATTCTTTAATATTTGTTTAAATCCGAAATCAAATAAAAAAGTTATTTGCGATTGAAATTCATCGAAAATTTGTGTGGATCGATTATTTTGCTAACAAAAAAAACTCATACAGCTTAAAAATCTAGTGTTTCTGATTTTCTATCATTTCGTTGGAGTAATTATGGCTTTTAACATGATACGTCACATTTGAAAGGTCTAAAATTAAATACAAAGTTAGGTTGAAGTTTGAAAAAAAAAATATTTCGTCATCCCTCTGTTTTTGTCAATTACTGCCCGCAAACTGCAAAGCATGGAAGTCGCCGTCTTGCTTTATCTCGTTCCAAATGGCTTCAATGGCTTGCCAGAGTTCGTCTACATTGTTTGGTTAAAAATGTTAAAAAAGTCATAATGGACCTGACAAAACTCGATGTCAGCTTGACATTGACGAAAAAGTTTTATTCACACAGCTGTATGAGTTTTTTTTGTTAGCGATAGTATTAAGCCTGAATTAAAGATTGCCTTCCTTCCTTTCTCCCGTAGTCGTGCCCGTACGATTTGTGCGTCTTGTAAAAAGTCAATTTATAGATTTTCGTGTAAAATTCCGTAACCATGCCCGATGACACCTAAAATGGTTGACATTTGTTTTTGTTTATATTCTGCGTTTTACCCATTGTGTGTAAATATTAAAGATAATCATTTATATATTAGTGCAGTGATCACAATTTTAATTGCCGAGGCAGCTTTTTGTATACTGCCCAACTATGGAGAAAGGCAGTAACTGCTAAACAAGAAATTTGTGGGAAATTAGCATAAACTACATTTTTATAAAGGTATTTAACTGATTTATTTAACTTAAAAGATAGTTTACTGCATTTCTTTGTTGAATTAAGATACAAAATGTCCATAGCTTTATCATAGCACAAGAAAACGCATTTGTAGTTACTGCCTTTCTCCATAGTAGGGCCGTATAATGAAAAAAAAAAACATCGAACAAGACGTTGAAAGACTCGCCCATGGGCACTTTACCAAGACCGGGAAACTACGAGGTATCCTAAATATCCTATTTAGAGACACAAATTATTTAATAAACTGAACACCTATTTTAAATAATACTAAACAATCATGTAAAGGGTGATTCATTTAGACCTTTTTTTTAAATTCTAGATAAAACGCATAAAATAGAGTTGGATGGCGGAATCTTTATTATGACCTAAAAGAACGATCTTTGACATTTTTTTTTTTAATAATTTCATTTAAATGCTGGCCGCGTACAGCGTGGTCCATTCGGAAGGTCCAATTTTCCATCACTCTTTCTAGCATTGCGACCGGTATCTGCCCAATTACCCGAGTAATGATTTCTCAATAAAGCTATTGTTTCGCGGGCTGTGTGTGCCGCAGCTCCGTCTTGTTAAATCAAAAGTCTTCGTCTATAATCCAGCTACGATTCAGGACTAAGAAGCCAACATTACTCGCCTCATTGGGCAGATACCGGTCGCAATGTTAGAAAGAGTGATCGAAAATTGGACCTTCCGAATGGACCACGTACGCCGTAGTCCCGGACAGCATTTAAATGAAATTATTTTCAAAAAATAAATGTCAAAGATTGTTCTTTCAGGCCATAATAAAGATTCCGCCATCCAATTCCATTTTATGCATTTTATTTAGAATTTAAAAAAAAATGTCTAAATGAATCACCCGTTATTTTAAATATTTTGTACCTACGCGCTATCACCCTACAGCGCATGTCCATAACACAAGCACTGTGATTGTTCATGTCAAAGACCTTCACGGTGAAAGATAAAACTTAAAAATTTCTACGGGAGGAAGGAATGCCGTCTTTACGGTACGGGAATCTATAACTGGCACTACGATTTAAATAAACATTTTTGACGTAATTGTCACCATTAATATTGCCCGTTATTAATTTTAATTAAACTTAACAATTATTGATGCTTTAAAATATTAAAATAACTTCAAAATATGATTTTGTTAAGAAAATATTTTATTCTTTGATTTTTTTTTAATACTATAATTGCAAAATATTATCACAAAGTATTAAAAATGTTAATGGTGACAATTACGTAATCTTCTACGGGAGGGAGGAAGGAAGGAAGGAAGGAAGGCAATCTATAATTCAGGCTTTAGGCTTCATCAATAAAAACCAGCTTATTTAATTTTAACATTTTAAGACCAACGATATTTTTTTTGTAAATTTGGTTGAACCAGAAAGTCTCGCCTGGCTTAAACTCCCAACTCCCAGATAATATAAATAAAGACTTTTACATACCTATGCCCACAGTTTGTACCAAAGCCTGGGTTCCGAAGTAAGTGAACGGACCACCCTCGAACATGAGGTTCTCCTTGCCGACCGTCACCTCGACGCGACCCTCCAAAACGATGATGAAATAGTCCACGGCTTTTCCTTGCTGGTAGATCACGTTCGCTGGGTCGGAACGCCAGTCTTTGTTCTTCTTTATGTGGAAAACGATTTCCTGCTTCAGCAATCTTCTCAGGATCGTTTCCGATATCACGTGAGGGTGGAACGGTTCCACGGCTGAAAAAAGGGCGGATTATTTTTTGCCTCAACAATACGCTAAAGAAATATTTTCGCATCTGGTGGATTCCATTGCGTGAATTTAAGAATTGTCAACAATACATTTAAAGCATACGAACTGTACATTATTTTTAAATAAATAGGTAGTTTTTTTACAAAAGAGAGGAAGGCAGAAGTCTTACTCGACAAATTTTGTTCAATTGCACAGCTAAATCGCGCACGTTATTAAGGAAAAAACTAAAAAACTTTTTTAGATTTCGATTCATTATTCCTTATATCATTGATTAAGAAACTCAACGCTTAAATGCTTATATAGTTACGTTAGTGTGTGTATTTTATCAAAGGGATCATGGTGAATTATTGTGTTTTTAATTGTAAATAAAATTCAAAAACTAAATCGTTGCATTTTTATGTTTTACCAAAGGATCCAATTTGGTAAGTTCATTTGTTGGTGCAGAATTAACTAAAGATAACTTTACCTAATTTAATATACAAGGTGTCCCTAAACTTAGTGGCATAAATTTAGGAGCAGATTAAGCAAGTCAAAATAAGACGAAAATCTAAATAAATATTTTTCCTAATTACGTATGTTTAAAAGTTACAGGGTGATAAAGTGATACTTATCATATCAGTTTTTTTAAAAAATCACCTGATCTGAGATTTTTATAAATAATGTTTGTATAAAAAAGTTTTTCCTAACAAAAAATAACAAAAAATATAGTCAAAATTTAAAAAATCATTATTACAAAAGTACCTTATATGAAGAGCCCTTTTGATATTTTAGATTTAACAAATTATATTCAGCGTCACGTGATTTATGGACGACCTATGGCGCGCCGTTTGATTTTTTATTTAAAGTGATATTTTTAATTCCTTAAATAAAAAATATCATGGGACAAATTTACAATTCGAATTATCAACACCATGAGAGAAATTTGTAATTCAAATTAAAAATATTATGGGGCCATTCCACGCTTAACGGATAGGACAGTTGCCGTGTTTTTATTTACAAAATAATATTGTTCTATTATATTACCAATATCAAATTTTTATAAATAGTTCTAAACAAAAGCTGTTTAACAAGGTTTTTATTTGGCAAAATTAGATACCTAATTTTGCCAAATAAAAACCTTGTTAAACAGCTTTAGTTTAGAACTATTTATAAAAATTTGACATTGGAAATATACAGGGCCGGATTTAGGCATGGGCCACATGGGCCCGGGCCCAGGGCGGCAAATTTTTAGGGGCGGCAAATTTTGAAGCCCAGTTAAAATTTTGCTAAAAAATCAAGAGCGTTTTATGCAGAATTTTTGTTTTCACTCAGATTTATACACTAATTAAAACTATAAAAACTTGGAAGAGAAGTTTTTAATACATTAGATAATTTTATATCAGACTACACTATTATTCTGCGTAGTGCGTCACTGCGTAGAAGGGCGGCAGTCGATGTACACGAGGCGAGTGGGGCGCGACTCTAGCTTATTCGCTGAGTCATTCGTTATTCGGGGTAATGATGCGTTGGGCCCATGGGCGGCAAATTCGTAAATCCGGCCCTGGTAATATAATAGAACAATATTATTTTGTAAATAAAAACACGGCAACTGTCCTATCCGTTACGCGTGGAATGGCTCTATGGTAGAAATTCTTAAACAAACTAAAAGTATCAGAGAAATTTATAATTCGAATTAAAAATATCAGGAGATATTTGTAATTCTAGTTAAAAATTGCATAGAAGAAATGTTTATAGGAATTTAAAACAACATAGGAGAAATTTATAATAAGAATTAAAAATATCAAAAAATAAATGTATAATTCGAATTAAAAATATTATAGAAGATAATTATAATTTGAGTCATTATAATAATATATTAAAATAACAAAATAAAACAGATATTTTTAATTCAATGTCATATTTTTAATTCTTACTGAACTGAAAAAATATCAAAGGAGAAATTTTAAATGAATTAAAAATATCTTGGGAGATATAGTAGTTTACCGCATATAGTACGTTTTTACAGCCCATTTCAGTAAGAATTAAAAATATTTTTTATGATATTTTTAATTCGAATAAGTAATTTCTACTATGGGATTTTTAATTCATTTAAAAATGTCTTCTTTGATATTTTTAACTAGAATTACAAATATCTCCTATGAAATTTTTAATTCGAAATAAAAATATGTCCTATGATATTTTTAATTCATTTAAAAATTTCAGCTATGATAACTATTTCTAATTCGAATGATATATTTCTCCAATGATATTCTTAATTCATTTAAAAATTTCTTTTATGATATTTCCAACTCGAATTATAATTTTTTTATGACATTGTCAATTTCGATTTTCTATAATATTTTGTATGCAACAATTTATAAATATCATTTTAACATTGTGATTTATTTATTTGTCCTATGATATTTTAAATGCAATAAAGTTTTCATTCGATATTTTTAAATAATTTGGAGATTAGACTCTAATCATTAGAGATATGTGAAATTCAATAAAGAAATAAATAATTTCTGAATAAAAAATCAAACGGCGCGCCATAACGACCCTTTATAAAAATAATTATATTTTGTAAAATGGTTGACACTTTATCAAAAAAATTATGGTATTAATAGAATTGCGTTAAAAACAAAATTCTAGGAAGATAAAACACATTTTTACTACAAAAACATAGAATTTATCAAGGAATTCGTAGTTATTTTAGTTATTACAATATTAAGTATTTTTCAGTATTTTTCACATACTAAATTATACAATTTATTTTTACTTACTTGTACTAAGGTATTGGAAGGCTGCTAAGGTTAGCTGAGGACTTATTCGTATCCTGCTGCTTCCTTCGCTACGTCTTTCAGCAAAAACGCTGAAATCTTGTCTTGTTTTGTCTCTTTTCCTTTTTGATCTGTTATCAGCTAAAAAATAATATTTGTAAATTAACGAGGTTCTGGAATTTTGATTATAAAAATTAAAAATCCTGTTTTATTTTATATTATTAGTTTTTAAATCATGCACTAAGCTAAAGAATCTAACACAAAATAATAGTTGTGCAAACATAACCTTAAAATCAAACATTTTTATATTTCACTTCTCTAAAAAAACTTTACAAAAACACTAATGATACTCACTAAACACGTCAGTTTCATCCATAATCTCGGCCTGTATCAGCTCTTCGATGACATCCTCCAGCGTGATCAAGCCGATGGTCTCGTAGAACGGATCTCCTTCTCCCTCGTTGTTAACTCTATGGACGAAGGCCATGTGGCCCTTGTTGCCGTCCTTGAATATCTTGAACATCACGTCGAGAGTGACGTCTTCGAAAACGAAGTTGCAGGGGTTCTGGTAGAACTGACACAAGGTTTTCAGGGGCGTGTTGTCGTCGGGGTCGACGAAAGCGAGGTCTTTGATGTAGAGCATGGTCACGATGTTTTGGCGGTTGGTCTCGTAGACCGGCACTCGGGAATAACCTGTACGAAAAGATAGTTAAGTTGTTTTATTTTAAATAGCTTGCTTTAACCAAAAAAGTGCAGGCTTCAAGTCGATGTTTGTGGCGTAAGAAATGGGTGGCCGTGCCAAGAAGACTAAACAAAGGAGAAGTAAATCTCGACCACAATAATTATTTATTAATCACAGAATTACCACAGAAAATGGTAAGTAAGACAGGTCAAAAAGATAATTTAAAAGTATACTAAAGATTCACATGATTTTTAAAATTCATTAAGGGGTTTTTCTCTTAGACCATTTGGCAAATTATTAGAGGCAAATTCTATGGGAGTAACATTTAAATGTAATGTGAGAATTTTTGTATTAAAAATGTATCGACTATCATTTACAAATTTAAAGCAATAATTTTGTAGTATGAAATTTAATATTTAAAATATTTTTTGATTATCAATTGTTTTGAGTTTAAAATTTTGTAACCTTTTAAACTATTTTGGTATAATATGTGTTATGTTGTATGTCTCGACACTATTTTGAAATTCTAAAAAATGCAACCTTACCAATTTTATTAAATATTTATTTAAGATTTTATTAAAAAATTATGGTTAGAAATGTATGTAAAAATTGATTGAACATAATATTGTTTAATACAGTTAGTTCAAAGAAGTTTATATAGACACTTACAAAAGTTAAAATTCCATAAGTTTTAAAATAACATCTACAAGAATCTAGTTTTTTTTTCGATTAAAAATAATAATGACATATTTTTGAAGATAAAAATTATATTACTATTTCTAGCAAGACCCCAGGATAAAAAATTAAAAATCAAAATGGTATAAATGTTTGCAAAATATAATTAATAGATGGATTTTTTTAGTTTCATAGCTATAATGGTATATTATGTATCAAGTTTGATAAACGCCATTTTATACACGAATTTAATTAGTGCTTAAGTTAATGAGTGTATAGAAAAGTTTATAAGCGAGGTGCATACTATACTTTTTCTACGACAAATACTTATTATTATCTTAAAATATTTTAAATCAAAAATTTGTATAGAGCGCCATCTATGAAACAACAGGGGAAACTGTCAAATGTCACATTTTTACATTTTATAAACACAATTATAAAGGTTATAAATCGAAATTTATCTTGAAAATTGACAGTTTTTCACAGTGAAAGTAAAGGAAATGTTTTATAAGGACTTTACAGTAGAGTCCGTGCCCGAATTTAAGTTATAGTTTACTGCCGGCGAAATTAAAAGGTCAGTACAATGTTTATATAAACTTTTCAAATATTGGCGTTGAGAAACTATTTAATATTTTTGTATTTTTGTATTGTGATAATAAAATAATTTTCACATTTAGTATTATTTTACAAGAAAGGCAATTTTTTTTAACGATTGTGTGACATTTGACAACTGTCAACTAACTTAAAACTAACTTCAGCCCGTGGACTAAAAACCTGTTGCTAACTTCAGCCCGTGACTAAAGCGCCGTAAAGCCACAACTTGTCAATGTGTATTTAAAAGGTCACTTAGTGTCATGGAAACATGTAGGGCGTTTTAAAGGTGGGAGTAGAAAAATATATTTATTATAATTCCTAAAAATTTAAACGAATTCGAGAAATTAAAAAATTGATTATTGATTTGAATTTGAATTTCTTTCTTTAGTTTACCATAGGAGAATTGGACCAACACAGTTTTTTTGACATTAATTATTAATCTATTAATCTATAAATTAACAATTTCACTTTCGGTCTTGCCATATAAAACAATAATTACATCACCAACATACACAAACAGTTTTGCCACACAGATGTATTTGGGGAGTTCATTTATAAACAATATAAATAACAAGGGACCCAGAGTACTACCCTGAGGTGTTCCAATGTGCGTATTGTATGGGTGAATCTCACGAAATGTCTCCCGATGATATTTAATAAAACTAAACACTTTTTTTTTTTTTTTTGATCTTTCATAATTATGTAGATATTACAGCTCAGGTTCCAGATTTTTAACCGCAATTAATTATTTTTTACAATGTTTTAAAAGTCTAAAACCTATCCTCCGTTTCTAGGTTAACCTATATGTATTCAAATATCAGTTCACTAAGTAAATTAAACACATTCAAAGCAATCGAATCAAATATAAAATATTATTAAAAATTAAAAGAAATATTTTTTATAACTATTTATGTAGGTGTTACAAAAATTGATTCTATCCTCCGTGAATCTGAATTTGCTTTAAATTTTATGCAACGGATGGCGCTTTAATCATTTTAAATAAGCAAAAACCTCTGTTTACGACATTATAAATGCAGGTAATTCCTGAAGGTCAGTTAGAATTTATATGCAGATGAGAGTGTTGCTGTTTTATAATTCAAAAGTTTAAGTTCATTAATTTGCCATTTAAAAACCTATCCACCGTGAAGTTTAATTTATCAGTAAGTAGATTTTTTTTATAAATATTTTATGTATGTACAATTGTATTTTTTTTTAATATTAAGGTGTCAAAAGATACAATAACTTATTTCAAATATATAAAGGGATGTTCAAAAAAACATACGAAATCCTAACCTCCGTGAAGCTCTAATATTCAAAATGTATGATTTCTTAAAATTCTTGCATTAGTGCAGTGCAGTTGAAAGTCGTTTTGGATTTAGAAATTAGTTTAAATTTATAAAGGTAGTCATAACGTCTGTTTGCAACAAGTTTTTTCAATATTTTTGATATGAAGCTAAGAAGTGAAATTGGATTGAAGTTTTCAATATTTTGTTGGTCTCCTGTTTTATGCACAGAATGAATTATTTAAATGACATGATGTTTATACACTATGTAGTTATTTTTGTTGTACAAGGTTGGTTGGTGGTGGTTGGTACTGGCAATCGCGAACAGCGATGCGAATGTGACATTTATGTGCAATGTTGCCAGGTCTAATGCTTTAGCATGGGATTTAAAGTTTTTCAATTAATCTGATGTTATTATGTTTTATTTAAAAAACTTATGCATTTTAACAAATTCTAGCAAATTTGTACTTTTTCATAACAAAGTAAGTTTTTAAACATTTCTATCACAATGAATGTAAATTTTGTATTGTCAGCAATTGCATACTTATTTACAAAATTATAAAATTTATTATGGTATTTTTAAATAATCTTACCTAAAACGAAAAAGTATGGGACTCTAGTTATAACTTAAATTGGCATTCTTAGAAACAGAAACAGTTTTTTTAAAGTTAAGTTACAGTCTTTAAAATAGTCCACAGGTCTTAAAAGTTGGTATTTTTTGGAGTAAAAAATTAAAAACATTAAGCCCGATGAAAGGGATATTTATTTAAAAATCTGAACTCTAACATAACATATAAAATATCATCAAAGAACCTTGCAAAGTTTATCAAACATTTCGTCAATTATCGGCTATCAAAATGGTTTATTTAACTGAGTTAACTGAAACGATATGATTCACTCAAATTTCTAAACGATCAAGTACAACATAATAGATGATTTATTAAATATATATTTTTATTTTTTAAATTATACAGGGTGTTTGTAATGAATGTAATAAATTAAAATGTACCTCATTAAACAGAAAGAAAAAAACCGATAAAAAATTAATTTTGTTGTTATAGAGTTTTTAAAATAGGTAGTAAATTTTCTAATCATTGCTTAAGCTAATAGCTGGATGAGTAAATAAATACAGAAGGGTATTAGAGCTTTAAGGAAATAAAAATTTTGTATTTATTAAGTTTTTATTTATTTTTCGCAAGAAAAATTGTTATTAACAATTTTTTACAACTGGCAACTCGCAGCTACTTCGTTGGTTGGTATCTAATATAACAAGGTTGTATGTTAAAAAACCGAAAAATTTGAGTTTCTGCTTCTGCAAGGTTTTATGTAATCCACCCTTGACATAGAACTTGAAAATAACTCTATATATATATATGTATACAGAGAATATACATTCTATAGAATTATTTTTAAGTGGTATGTGAAGCGTAGGCCACGTATAATCCTGTAGAAACATAGACTTAAATTTTTCATTTTTTTTAACATACAACCTTGTTATATTAGGGTGACGATATGTACTCACAGAACAAAAGTGTGTAACCAATGGCGTATCACAAAAAAAAATAAAAAACTTTTAATGCATATCTTTTCTTTATCTTCGGGAAAATATTTTTTTAAATATTTAATATACGAGGTGTGTTCAGAAAATATCGGGAATTTTCGTTGTTTGAAACAAACATTTATTTATTCGCCTTCAAAATAGTCGCCATTGCATATTATGCACATGTGCCAGCTCTTATTCCAATACTCGAAACACTTCTAAAACTCGATCTTTGGGATAGCCTTTAGTTCTTTCAGCGATGCGCTTTTAATGTCATCTATGCTTGCAAAACGACGGCCCTTTAAGGTTCTCTTTATTTTTGGGAATAGGAAAAAGTCAGACAGAGGCATGTCTGGCGAATATGGAGGCTCATTACAGTATTGTTTTTGGCCAAAAATTTTGTTCAAAATTTAACAATTTTAGAACAAATTTTGCTGCCACGCGTTTCATACCCAAAACATTCGAAAAAATTTCATGGGATGAGCCAATCGATATACCAACATCATCAGCGACTTATCTGATGGTTTATAACCATTTCATCCACTTTTTCCATGTTTTTATCGGTTGTTAATGTGCTTGTGCGTTCGGGGCGTTCGTCATCTTCAACGTCTTCACGGCCATCTTGGAAACTCTTATACCACTTGTAAACTCTTCTTTACCTATAGCAGACTCACATAGGCCTTTGTTAACATTTCACAGAATTTATTTATTTTTTTAAGCAAAATTGGATACAAATTCTTTGATCCATTTCTTTTAACGAACGAAAAATCGCCGAGCTCACAAAACACGTCTAACCTTAGCGGCTGCCACAGACAAAGAAAACAATGAAAACAGCCAAAGTTGTCATACTTCGGGGGCATGTATACCAACATAATAAAGAAAATTTTATGACAACCGGACTCTCTGGACCCGCGAAATTTAACAATTCTCGTTATTTTCTGAACACACCTCGTATTACATTAATTACATAACACCCGTTATACTTAATATTTTCATAGTTGTATGTATATTTTTTGTCAGGGTCTCACCGGGCCACAAAAAGAAATAAAGAAAATTGAAATTTGAACCAAAGAATATTTCATTGATTTTGTTTTTTTTCTGACCTGATTTCATGATTTCAGACACAGTTTCGAAGTTTAAAGTTGTCTCGTAGTCCAACATAAAAACGTCTTCTATTTTCGTCATAACTTCAGATACGGTTTTCTTACGCAGTTCCAAGGCACCGCTGATAATATTTATTTCCTCCTTGTCCAAGTCATTATCGCCGGTTGTAACCTGAAAAAAGAAAAAATAATTTGTAAATAAGATAAATTAATATAAAAAAAAACGTTTTAATTTTTTTATATAGAACCAAATAATATACCCGAAAACTGTCTACAGTCTGTCTACAAAAAATGTTTTAGATCTTTCAAACTGTTTTTTGTACTTTTTCTACAAATAGGTAGGTACTTATTATTATCTAAAAATAATATATTAAATATTTGTATAAAACTATTTAATTCTTTTGTATTGAGATAATAAAATAATTTTTACATTTAGAATTATTTTAAAAGAAGGGCACTTTATTTTAACGATTGTATGACATTTGATAACTTAAAACTAACTAACAGCCCGTGACTAAAGCGCCATAAAGCCACAACTTGTCAATGTGTATTTAAAACTTAGTGTTATGAAAACATGTACGTTAATGGGCGTTTTAAAGGTGGGAGTAAAAAAATAATAATTTACTCCAAATTTAATTTTCTGCAAAAAAGTTTAAAATTAATATGTACAGATAAATATGTAGGTATTTGAAGTCGAAATTTTAAATTTTTGCAAAAATTATTTTGATTTGATCTTCAAATATTTTACAAATTGTAGTTCTGTGGGTAAAAGGCATAAGGGGATAAGTCAAAAAAAGCATTTTTTTAGTAGAGCCTTAAACGTATTGGCATTAATTCAGGAAACATATTTATGGTTAGCGGATATACCCTTTTTTTAGCACATGGAATATGCTAACAAAAGGCTATACCCGCAAAACATAAATATATTTCCTGAATTAATGCGAACACGTTAAAGGCTCTATTGAAAAATTGCTTTTTTTGACTTATCCCCTTATGCCTTTTACCCACAGAGTTGTTTTTGGTACTTCAAATAATGTAATGAACGGAAAAAACATTATTAATATTATATAATTTAATTAACATTTTGATAAAATTTTAAATTTTTCTCCATCCCTTAAAATATTAATTTTAGAAATTTTACGTATTATAGGTATAATACATATACATTTGACCTTTACTGTGAAAAACTAAATTTCCCACAAAAAAGTATTAACTTTATTTCAAGTTTTTGCTAAAATTTAAATTATACTTTGCTAATTTAAATTTCTTTCTTTGCGAAAAAAGCGGCAAAAGGCCAAAACTATGCTTGATTGGATTAATAATAAAAAGTTTGAAATAAAACATAAAATATGAAAGCAAAAACATTTGATTCTTTTAATATTTCTTAAATTTACTTATTTAAATATTATGAACAATTTAGGCGGAAACTTGGGATGTCTAAAATTCGTTACTGTACTATTTATTTAAGCGAAACATTTTTCGATTTCTCAAGATTCGAGAACCCTATTATAAAATCCATAGAAAAATAAATTGGACGCTTGAAATGCGTTCTTGAAAAAAAAATGGTGTTACATTAAAAGAAAATTAAAAAAAAAACTCGAGTAAAAATGGCACGCCGTTTTAGCTTTTATTAGATAATAGTTTTGTGGGGACTGGATTTCCCACTCTTGTCTGTCAGTACAATTTAAGTGATTTTTATAATAATTTTTATTTATTTTATTTTTATTGCTATGTATTTCGAATTATTATTAGTCAGTAATTATGTTTAAACTTTTCAGGTAGTAGGTTGTAAATAGTGTATTGCAGAGAGCGTGTGTTTGTTACCTGGAGCCTTGTAAAACATTGGAGTTTCCTGTCATCGGTAAACATCCTTTACGATTGCTTACTTACCTCTCCGGTTTCTTTACCCAAAGTAATTTATTTAATTTTATTTTTATTACCCTTTTATAGATGCGCTTTGATTTTTCCAAATGTTTCCTACCTATCCCCTACCACGATTAGGGGTGGGTGGCCAAAAGGGCTCTTGGAAAATGTCTTGGTCTATCACCAGACACAACGTACTGACTCCCCGTTTTGAGTACATCGGCTCCGGGCTCCTTTCGTGTGTGGTGCATCGTACTTTCATCTCTGGGTCATTGCTCGATGAAAAGTCTGAAACATAGCTGACTTTGACCCAGGAGGGACAAAATGGAATTTCGGGTAAAGAAATATACCTGTATTTTTGGACAATATCGCAAGCTTTGACCTTCTAGCGAGGTATTTTGTGAATTGTACAACACATGGAGTGAATGATCCAAGATTTGGAAAATTCACGTGTCTATGGGTGGATGGCTTCGTGAAGCGCATGGACATTAAAACTTGTTGCTGGTCAAAGTGGTTCATTGAAACCGAGACCATTAAGGCCTTAGGCCACCAAGGAAGAAGAAGAGAAGGCTCCGGGTGACAACACATTTAAATTATAATTCTGTTTGTGTATATATGTGTATTGTATTGTATATTGTGTATATGTAGTGTAATAAAGTTAAGTTTGTAAATACCTCGCCGTCGATCAATTTGCACACAACTACCCGCACCAAAGCAGTCGCTAAAGTTTGAAGATTAAAGTTTAGCACTTTAATGATGTTTTAATAGAAATTTACAAAGTTACATTTTTTTAAACTTAAAACAATTGATTGTCAATTTTTTTTTTAAATATAAAATACAACTGTAAAACTTTAAAATTAAAAATATTGATTTTTAAAAATTTTAGTACAAATATTATATTCTATAAAATTATCGGTTTAAATTGTAAAGAGTCATTTAAATGATCAGTCGATAAATGTAAAAGTATACTAAAAATATCAGCTCACTAAGTAAATTAAACACATCTAAAGCAATCGAATATAAAATATTATTAAAAATTAAAATAAATAATTTTTATAACCATTTATGTTGCAAAAATTGATTCTATCCTCCGTGAATCTGTTTTTGCTTTAAATTTTATGCAACGGATGGCGCTTTAATCATTTTAAATAAGCAAAAACCTCTGTTTACGACATTATAGATGCATGTGATTCCTGAAGGTCAGTTAGAATTTTATGTATGTACAATTGTATTTTTTAAAAATATTAGGGTGTCAAAAGATACAATCACTTATTTCAAATGCATATTTAAAAAACATACGAAATCCTAACCTCCGTGAAGCTATCTTCCGTGAAGCTCTAATATTCAAAATGTATGATTTCTTAAAATTCTTGCATTAGTGAAGAACCACTTATGTTATGTTATTACTAGACCTGGTGGCTTCCCAAAAACCCCAATCTAGACTAAAAGTGAAACAACCAAAACTTCTTATCTCACTCATTTTGAGTGAGATAAGAAGTTCATTAACGCACGCGTTTTTCTCTGCTTTTAACCAATCAAATAAAAAAGTCAAAATGTCAAAATAACCCTAAAGTCTTAGACAAAAATAATTACCGTTTATTTTTTCATTTGGAGGCGTAGATAAAAATTTGTACAATATACGTGTGATAACGCTTTATTAACGTACTTTTGCGATTGCCCAACTCGTGCTACGCACTCGTTGGGCAAATTTCGCATGCGTACGTTAATAAAGCTCTTATCCCACTTATATCGTAAATAACTATTAAAGCCTACGAACTGTACATCATTTTTAAATAAATAGGTAGTTTTTTTACAAAAGAGAGGAAGGCAGAAGTCTTACTCGACAAATTTTGTTCAATTTCACAGCTAAATCGCGCACGTTATTTGTGTTTTACGTTGCAAGGAAAAAACTGGTTTAGTACTCGATTTCGATTGATTATTCTTTATATCATTGATTTAATAAGAAACTCACCGCTTAAATGTTAATATAGAGACGTTAGTGTGAGTATTTTATCTAAGGGATCATGGTGAATTATTGTGTTTTTAATTGTAAATAAAATTCAAGAACTAAATCGTTGCATTTTCATGTTTTGCCAAAGGATCCAATTCGGTAAGTACATTTGTTGGTGCAGAATTCACTAATGATAACTTTACCTAATATAATTTATATTTAAGTTTGGACATTTTAAATAAATTAGTAAAACATAATTTTTGCACAAACATAACCTTAAAATCAATCATTTTTATATTTAAGTTCCCCAAAAATCCCCTACAACTGCATTTTAAACAAGAAAATATACCTAGAAATTCATGGCAACATAATATTATATGTATATAATACATAATATAATATTTTACCGATTTTGACGATTATTACTGAATTGAAATGTTTACACTTTTCACGTTAATCACTACTAAAGTGTGTATTTATTGTATCTAATAGATACAATTTATATTTACAGGGACTGTATGAAATTTATTTCTTCATTCGGATTAACACTGTTTATTGGAAAACCGATAAAAACTCAACCCAGGATTTCCTCTCGAAATACAACACTTCTTTAGCGTATTGAAATCACGCAAAATTATGCCCTGTCTATGCCTGGTTCAAAAGTTGGTTTTTCACTTTTTGTGGCCCTGTAAAAAAGTTGTTAGGTGGGTTGGAAGAGTGGAGTTAGTCGTAAACAAACGCTTGGTATTGGGAAATTTAGTCAACATGCAGCGTTACACAGGAGAACAACGCGCTTTTTGTATGCGCGAGTTTTATAAAAATAACAATTTTTGCACTCTCGTTCGACGTTTGTTTAGACGCCATTACAATTTACACGACATTTAACAATGCCCAGGCATTAATTTAATTAGGGCATGGGTTCGTAAGTTTGAAGAGACTGGTTTAACGACAAATAAACGCATAACCAACCTTTTAAGAACAATAAGAAGCTCTGAAAACATTGAGATGGTGAGAGCGTCTTTGCGGCAGGAACCAAACTTGTCGGTTCGCAGGCGTTATGTCGACATGATACGTGATTTTTTGACACCTGCTCTTAAAGAATTTGAAGGATTTGACCAAGAAAGCTAGTTTTAACAAGACGGAGCCACAAGTCACACTTCAAATCGGTCTTTGCCCGTTGTTCAGGCGTTTTTTCCTGAAAAACTGATTTCCCGAAGAGGTGACATAAATTGGCCCCCTAGAAGCCCGGATTTGACTCCATGCGACTTCTTTTTATGGGGATATCTTAAAAGTCGAGTTTATCGTAACCACCCTGCTATTTTGGAGGACTTGAAGCACAATATTCGGGCAGAAATGAA